TTCACCTATTCGATATCGGATTTATTCATTCGAAACAGTTTAAACCACAAATAATAAAGCATTTGTATAAAAACTATTTTTTCTTCGTCAATTGAATAACAGTGTCGAGAAATTAAAATTGTTGATCATATTAAAAGTTTTGAATGATTTGTAAGTACTTTTAAGTTTATTTAAACACTTACATTTATTCGTTTTGTTCATTTAAAATAACCAGTTTTTCCTTCCTAGTAGAAATGTTATTGATTTTTCAGACGCATAAATATAACTAAAGTAAGGTAATTGTACAATAAAATATGAGTTAAAAATTACAAGTTTGCTGTTTTTATACCAAAATATTTTCTGAAGAACAGCGGAATAATTTTTTTTAGATCGCAGCCCATTTATAGTTACTGCTAATAGCGTATCTTTTATTATTTTTTTAGTAGCATTTCACTTAAGAAATTTTTTTACCCATTCCTTGTTTTATTAATATTATATAATAAGTTACTTTAGGTTCTGGAGAAGTTTGTTCCGGAACCCAACCCCATTGCTATACTTTTAGTTACTGTAACAAAGATGCAGACTTAACGTAGTGTAACCAAGGAGTATACTTAATTAATTAACAAGCCTTTCTTAATTTTGATTATCTCATTAATTTATTACGAATCTTGGTTAGTATAGTAAACTTCAATTTACTCCTATTAAGAAAATAAAATTTTAGAATTATTTTATTTTCTAGATAGCTTTGCATGTTTGTTTACTTGTAACTAAAAATATTTATATTTTTTTGTTAAATAATCTTTGTCACAAAAAAATGTTCATTAATTTTGCATTATCATCATTTTAATTAAAATCGTCATTATGTGTATAAATCCTTTCTGTACCATTACGACTCAGATAATATAAATGTTTTTAAGCTGTTAATTATGTTTAATTAAATGATATACAAATTATTAGGAAATCTAGGAAGTTTTTTTTATCAACAATAATTTAGGGAAATAAGACACCTCGTTTTTTATAAGATAAATAATTTTTTTTAAATTCAGTATCCACTTATTTCACGACTAATTATTATACAAATATTCTGATTTTAGATTATACTATTACCATAAGATATTATCTTTAGGTTTTTATTGTCTTTGCGTTATTGTGAATATGAATTTCTCCTGAAGGTCACATAAATAAATAAATAAAAATATTATCATCTTTAACAAACGCATATAAATATGATATAAACAACAAAGTGCTTATAGTCCGACTTCTTTATTCTGTGTAAAATGCATTTTTATAAAAAAAAGTTAATTAGTAATTTCAAATCTATACATAGGCGTATTTAAAGAGATATTTGAAGTATTGCCCTCCTAGAAATATAGAGAATCATATAATAAATATATTTAAAATAAAGGAAAAATGAATTTAATTCCCTAAATATTTTATTATGATTTGAGGCATAATTAATGTAGTAATTATTATCAAAAACCATAGCAGTAGCTGTTTTTGTTTTATCCATAACGGCAAAGAGGCATTAAACTAATTAATTTTTTGTTAAAACACGTTAAAAATTGACATTAAGCTGTAAACTATTAATAACAAAAGTGAAACGTAATTATTCATTCTTGTAATGGAAATTAATTATCATGAAAATTGTTAAATCTTTCCAAATATTTAATTAAGTGACTATTTTTTGCAATTTTTTATTTTAAAAACCAAATTTACCAGTCTTTGATCTAGTTTCTTTATGATTGTGAATTTAATTAAATTTTTAAGTTATAATTAAAGGGTGAATTTAAGTAAATTATACATAAAATTTGCTCAATTTATGTAAAATAGTTTAGCTATTATGCGAAGCTGAGAAGATATTGGTTTTACTATATGTTTTTTTTTTTTTGTATTTGTCGAAATTTTTTTTTTCTCTTATTGGAACCATTTTCCTAAAAAATATATCAAAAGATCACACATTGTATCTAGTTGGATAGTATATTGTCTCAAAGTTTGAAAAAAATTTCCTTATTCCTCTTAAATAAGATAATTCTAAAAAATTATAATTTTAGAAATTGGAATATTTCATTATTATTTTTTTTAAATATTTTTTCTTAAAATTGTAATAATATTTTTGAAAATGTTTGCAAAAATTTGGAGATACTTTAGATAATTTTTTTTATTAGGCATATTTTCATTGGAGATCAGATCCTTTGTCTGGCCACGTGGGGGATTAAAAAAATTAACTTTTTTATGAAAGTGAACTTTTAAAAATGTTCTGAAAAATACTGCATTCTTTAAAAATATGGTAAATTAAAGCTTCATTCATATGCCACAATTAAAAAAAACATTTCTTCATACTTAATTTTCAATGTGCAAATGGTTTAGTTATTAATTGTACTATTTTTATGTTAACATTCCCGGTTTTATATCAATTTTAGACTTCAATATGATTTTCAATTTATAGGGCTTATACTGTAGATTTTATAGTATAGTCATAAATTGAAGAGGGGTAAGAACCAACCATTTAAAAAAACTAGATCCATTCAAAATAAAATTTAATAAGATTAAGAGTAATTAGTTAAGAATATTTTGGATAAGATTTTTTGTATATTTTATGTCCATTCAGTAAGCATATTAAAGAAAAATAGTCTCTTCCTCCCAATAAACTGAAATTATAATAAAGAAGATTAAATTGATCAAACTTGCTTTAAAGCACAATTGCATCAAAATTTTTGATGTATAATGGTCTCTTCCAAGTCCGTTCCTCACTGTGCCGTGTCCCATTTGTATTTTTACAAATAGTTTACTTATAGGTGCTTTATAAACATAATGTACATGAGCAGGAATCCAGAGTTTAAGCATTTATATTGAGTTTTTCAAGGGCTGTTACGTTTTAAACACCAAAAATGTCAAAATTTGCATTGGTCTTATGGGACGTGTTAAATGTTTTCATTGTTTATTTTAGTTTAAAAATTTTATTTTTTAAACATGTTTTTTAACAACTCTGGTTTGTTCTAGTCATTCATTGTTTGTTTTTTCTTCTTTTTTTTTATGCGTACATTTTATATTTAAAATGTTATATTACACATTTCACTAAAATTAGTTATCATATCAAAAATATATACTTGTTTCATATAATAATATATAATCGTAAAATATGCGCTTAACTAATAATAAAATGCGACGTTAAATCAAACATATACAAATAATTATTATTTATAATAATAATTATAATTTGAACTAAATCAAAATTTGGGATGAACACTAATTCGATTGTCGCTCCTTTTGAAAAAACGTTATTGGTCAACATCTGTTGACAAAACAAAATAAATTAATAAGTGCTGCAGATGCCTACAAGCAGCCGTTGAAGAGTTTGAATCACACGGACCATGACCACTCCCTCCGCTTTCACTAGCTGCGTTCCATCCGGCCGGAAGACCTATATACAGAGAAGTTTCCAGGCTAACTTGTGTACACGCATAATTATGCTATATACATATTAATGCATGCACGATAGTATTATTATTGTTATAAGTATACATTTATTTTGACGCGCGAACTAGAAAAAATTATATTACTGCGGCATGTCTCTAAGATTAAGTCATGGATTGTTTACTTCCTAGTGTTGATATTAATAGCGACAGTCGTTGTATCGGTACGTTTACCCAAATAGCCGAAAACGAGCTTATAAACCGAAAAACGATTATTATTATTAAAATTAATATGCACGTACGTAACGCTGAACTTGACCGACTATTTTCAATTTGCCATTTTATAATGTATGCTAATTTAAAACTTCACTCCACCTGTTATTGTAGTACTGAATAACCAGACATAATTGTTGAACCGAAGCGTAACAAATAAAATATAATTCAGCAGATTTTATTTTTGTGAACTGATTGTTACTTTAAGTAAATCCTCTATAGTCGCACGCAATATGTAAACAATACAGATATATGCCACGACATTGACCGTTCTTCAAGTGGTATAGTCGATGATAACTCGGTTAACATGTTTTATTATAAAAATAATGAAATATAATTTTCTTATTATAATACTATTATAATAAAATACTTTTATGGGGTTTCATTAAAATATTGATCATTTTCTGAAAAAAAAACATCCATTTGAAAAAATAATTAAAATATTGTTGAAAACGTGGTTTATATCGTTGTACATGGATGCACGCATAATGTTAGCAATTAAAAAATTGTAGTAATAAATAAGTCTCCAGTTAAATTTTTTTTTTATTTTTTCATTTTTATAACACATTGTTTTTTACACCTATTAATGCTTGTTTTATTGTGTACTTAAAGTAAAATGAAAGAAGTTTCACGGTGATCCATGGTACGGTTGACCCACAAACCGGATCATTCAGTGTGACCGTGATGACGACGATGATGATGATGTCTTTACCGTCATCATCATCTGATCTTCTATTTCTGATTTTCTATGGACAATTCGTTGAGGTTTTAGCACACAAAAAATAATAATAGTAAGATACCGCAACTAGGTATGTACAAAAATCAACTTAACGCTGCTTGATTTACTCGTATTTTAATCGGTGTTGCATCCGTGTTAGTATTGACACGATTTACGCTTTTAGTTTAGGAATAATTTCTTTGTTTTATGTGAAAAATCAATATATTTCACACTAATATACTGTTTATTAGTTCGCATATTTAAAAATATTTTTTAATTGTTCATGGTTTTTGTTCAATAAAAAATTTGTTCGACTGCATTGCTAAAATAGGTTAGGCGCGACTAAATAACTTAAACATGGCTATTCATTATGGGGTGGGGGATTGTAATCCCCTAACTCCCTTGGTAGCATTACTGACTGTATCGACAATAAGTTAAAGAATAATAAAATTAAAAAATTTAATATTGAAAATATATGTACGATAATTATTAAATCTTGTTTGTGTGTAATAATTGGTACCTATTATACTGTGATTTCACTATTTTATTTAAGTGCATGTTGAATACGATGTGTACCATGTCACATTCCTTTAACATCTCGCCGCATTCTTTTGCAGTGTTGAACGTTGCCGCAGGCAAAGCGCCCATGCAAATCAGCTCGGAACCAGGCGGCTTGCCACAGAAAGCTATTGACGGAAGTACTAGCTCATTTTTCAGCCCTGAAACATGCACACTCACCAAACCAGAACGGACCCCATGGTGGTATGTGAACCTGTTAGAACCATACATGGTGCAATTAGTTCGATTAGATTTCGGCAAAGCTTGTTGTGGTAAGTAAAATATCTATTATACATATATAATGATGACATTTTTCTATAGTTAATGTAAAGATTGAGATCAGTTTGCTAATAATATCATTGTTTTTTCTTAATTGATTTATCTTACAACAAGTTGTAAACTATAAAAGATTATTAAAAAAATAAAATACTGAAGACTATCAACATAACACATAATTAAGAAAACATTAAAAAAATCTATGTACTTAAATATTATTTTCAGTAAGGGAAACTACACGGATTAATGTTATTAATTTAATTGATGTACCTTAAATAATAAAATTAATATCTTAGAAATATATGATGTTCAGGTGATCCTTCAATGAAGGATTTTGTAGGGTCAATTTTAAGTAATATTTTATCAATCAGAGAGAATTTTAAAATGATAAATTAAAAAAAAATAAAATATTAAAAAAAATTGTTATTAAAATATCAAATTATTTCAAAAATGAGTTTATTAAAATAATATGTTTTATAGGAATTATAACAGTTAATAATATTCTTACAATTAAATTTTGTTTTAAGCTGAATATACAAAAACAGTCGAAACTAATTCTCGATTTAGCTTAGTACCATTTTGCTAAGTTAATTTTTTTATCATAATTTAGGCCTGGCCATATGGGTAAAAACGTATGTTTTGGCGTACGGGTTCGATCCCCATTGTGTTATTGAGATTTTTCATGTGATTTTCTCATTGATGGGTGTCTGGTTTCTGGTGCAAGCCGGCCATAATACCCGTTCAATCTATACCTAGCCACCAACCATCTTTGACTCCCTAACATAATAAATAAGGCCATCACCACCCTCTGTAGCATGTTAAGTTTGGGAAATATAAGGATGTAAAACTGATCATTAACTCTATTAATTTTTTATCATAATATAAAGCGACTAAGTTTTAACTAAGATCTTATCAATCAAACTCTCCATTAATTTATTTAAATAAAGTTTACGATATACGATATACGACTATGTTCTTTATTTTAGTTTTAAAGTAAAGAAATAAAAAAAAATTTTAATTGAAACAGGCATATTAAAATTTATTATATGAAATCGTTTATTACAAATAAATGTGAGTAATTATTAGAATACAATAATAGTACAATACTTTAATAATTAGTGCAATTAATTATTAGTGAATACATCTTACACTAATGGTTGTTACTCGTTAGTTACTAATTAAAATTTCATTAAATTACAACATAAATAATAATTTATAGAGAAAGTTTTTTTTTCAAATTGTAAGTTAATACAAATATTACTATCACACTAGATACATATTATATGGAGTTTAATGTATTGGGCCACTAAGTATTTTCACTTCACGAAAAATTACGGTCACTTTATTAAAAAATGCGATGATACTTTCGCGTTGTTTGTATTTATAAAAGTATATTTTGGTAAATTAGTTACATAGAATAATAGCCATTCATTTTATCATTCAATATTCATTTAGCACGCGCGAAAAACGTGCACTGAAAAACAGTTAAAGAAAGTAGTACTCGTATATAGTTAACTGTGGGTCTGGCCATCTATATAGCACCTCTTGTATAAAATAAAACAATGGAAAATCATAGATCCTAAAATGAAAACTGTTTTCACACGGTTTAAATATATTCACAAGTACCGAATGATAATGACAACGACGTCCTTAGATTTTAGTTATCACTCCCTTTATTTAATATTATATGTATTTTATAAATATTGTATTGTTCACAGGTAAAAATAAACCAGCCACAATTATAGTTCGAGTGGGAAATAACAGGCCTGACTTAGGTACAAATCCCATATGCAATCGTTTTACTGGGTTCATTGATGAAGGTAAACCATTATTCTTACCATGTAATCCACCCATGCCTGGGGCATTCGTTAGTGTACATATGGAAACAGCAGGAGCATCAACTCAATTATCTATTTGTGAAGCATTTGTTTACACAGATCAAGTATGTAATAGTTAACTTTTTTTCATACTGAGTTAAAGCTTTGATAAAAATTTTAAACCACTGATGATTGAATAGTTTAAAACACGCTAATATTGAATAAAATCGGGATATTAATTTTCGATTATTTTTAGGCATTACCAATCGAAAGATGTCCACAATTTAGAGACCAACCTCCGGGCAGCACAGCTACATACAATGGTAAATGTTACATATTTTACAATCGTCAACCAATGAATTTGAGAGAATCCCTTGCTTTTTGTCGATCAAGAGGAGGAACATTGGTGGACGAAAGTAATCCGGCTCTACAAGGTTTTGTTAGTTGGGAATTATGGAGGCGGCATAGGCAAGTTTAAATGAAGATAAACATTTATAAATATATCATTTAAAATTAAATAATTTTAATTATAAAGATCTGATTTATTATTTATATTCTCAGGAGTGATTCTCAAAGTCAATATTGGATGGGTGCAGTGAGAGATTCTCATGACCGAAATAACTGGAAATGGCTAAACGGCGACGATCTTACAGTTTCATTTTGGAGTGTTCCAGCTAATGGACCAGAATCAAATTCAATCAATGGTGGTGACTGCGCACGTTTTGACGGTGCCAAAGGTTGGCTATGGTCTGACACAAACTGTAACGCACAACTAAACTACATTTGTCAACACCGTTCGTATTATTTTTTTTATTACATTTTATAAGTAAAATTTGTGATGAGTCTAGTGATTAGTGTGGGTGCTTATAATTTTGTTATCAGTGTTACATGATTGTATTAACACAACTTATGAAAAATAATTCTTACAAAAATATGATTTAGGTTAGCTAATGGTTTTATTTTTTTATATATATTTTGATTATTCAAATTGAAAAGTTCAAGTCGTCATGGCGAATGCGTAATTAGAAAATTGCCCTAGGGGACAATAGTATTTTATATGCGTTTCAATTTAAAAATTAATATAAATTTCAACTTTATAATTTAATTCATCAAATTTTATGTGTCAATTTTGGAACAAATGCATTTTACCACCCCATCGAGTTTTTTCATTTTTTTTTTTTTTAAACGTGTATTTTTCAATGCTTTTTTCAAAAGTGTTTGAAAAAATTGTCGGAAAAAATTGGTTCAAAAGTTATAGCTTTTTAAAGTTGAAACGTCAAAAACTAAAAATAGCTCAAAAATTGTTTTTTTTTTTGTTAATTTTTGGGATTTTTTCTCATGATACTATTGTGAAACTATAATGACGTAATTATTACATAATATCCTCATTCTAAAAATCCTAAAACCAAAATTATCTTTAAAAATAAGGATTTTCCAAATTTTTTTTTCAAAACTACGCACATCAAATTTACGCAATACGAAATAAAAATAACAAGAAACTCAATTAATTCAATTTGAGCAAAAAAAAAAAAAAAAACACGATGTGGTGTTTTACATAGAACTGTTAATTCAATAAAATAAAAGTTTTTACTGTTTATTATGTACACCAATTAACACTTGTTGTAAACAAAAAAAAAATACTATTACATTAGATATTGTTGATATTAGTTAAGTTGTTGAGGTATCAAAATATACTTACTAATATCTTAATGTTATAATGTTGAGTTATACAAACCCATTTAAATATAAGTTGTGGTCACCTACGCCTGCCGGCTCCGGTGACCGATTCGAGCCCCTTCGGGACTCTCATGGGATGGGGGCTCACGCCCCCAAACCCCCAGAGGATAGAAGTCAAGCCCAAACCCAACCTATTTAAACCCATTCGACTGAAATTCTCAGTGACCCAACAAGTATAAAACCTTGATGTTAAAATGGTGATATAATATTGAAAAAATTTATCAAAAAAAATTAAATTTATTTACTTCAACACTACCTTAACACGTTTAATGTACTCATAAATACTCTTAAATTTACTATTCCTCGGTAACTACATCATCGAGAATACTTTTTATAGTTAATTAATGAAAATTATAAAAAAAAAACAGCAGTATATAACAAAATTTGTATATGATTATTGAAATCTTTGAAAGCTCATAACTTTTAAACTAGACTTCGCCGACAAACATTTTTTTTATATTCTTAGTCGGTATGAAAAACTAAATTGATCTAAAAAAAAAAATTTGAAAAATCTCGATGGGGTGGTAAAATGCATTTAAGCCTCAATTTTAATAAAATGTATAAATGTACAACATTTATCACGTAAAATAATCCTAACATTTTAAATGAAAAAATATATAGAGCCAAATGCTTGTGGAAGACCAGAACAGCCTCCAAATTCAACAATGATAGCAGAAAACTTCAATGTTGGTACGGTAGTAGAGTATACTTGTGACGAAGGTCATTTACTGATTGGACCATCTACTCGCACGTGTCTTGCTACTGGATTTTACAATGAATTCCCACCAGTCTGTAAACGTAAGTTTTGAGTGATATGTAAGTACTTTAGTTTTCATTTTAAAACCTGGACGAATTGTATTTGCTATAGGTATTCAATGTGGGTATCCGGCAGAAATTTCCAATGGTAGTTATAAGTTGATCAATGGAACTATAAATTACTTAAGCCAAGTACAATATAACTGTTCCGAAGGATTTAAAATGACTGGTAGAGATCGATTAATATGCGACTTAGATGAAAGATGGGATGGACCTCCTCCCAAATGTTCTGGTAATTATTTTACATTTATAAATTAAATTTATAACCAGTTTTAACTTACTATTTTTTTAAATAATATTTTAGTCCAAAAATGTGAAGATCCACCTATTATTTCTAATGGTGAATATCAGATGTCAAATAACGATAGTATTGTAGGAACAATCGTAGAATATTCGTGTGTATCTAGAAAATTTAGGCTTGTTGGAACAAAGGAGTTAATATGCTTACCAAATGGACAATATGATAATAAGCCTCCCTATTGTAAAGGTTTGTAATGTCTTAAGATAATAAGTTTTCAATAACACTGATGCACTATGAATCATTCATTTGGTTTTGCAGAAGAAATCAAGACACCACCTGCACCCATTTTAGTCACTAAACCACCATCATCTGCTACATCAACTACTCCTAGTAGTAGGGTAACCCCAAGTCGAGAAAAGCCACGACCATTTACTACTAGACCAACAATTGTTACTAAGCCTTCAAATGATCATGTAATAAATAAAAAAATACATCAAAATTGTTTTTGCGATAAAATAATATATTGATTATTTATTTATTTTTCTATAGGACGACAATGGTCAAACTTCATCTAATGTCGTTATTGCTTCTGCACATCCTCACGATAATGAAATTCCAGACAGTGTTCATGTACGAACAAATCCTAATGCTGCTAATATACCAAATCAAGTAGAAAGTGAACACCGCATTGGTCCTAAACTGAATTTAGGTAAGTTACTAATTTTAATTTTTTTTATTGATTTCAACTTTTATAATTTTTTCTCTTAGGAGCAATTATTGCTTTGGGAGTATTCGGAGCGTTTGTATTTTTAGCCGCAGTCGTTACTACTATCGTCATATTAGTGAAAAGGTAATATTTCATTACTAATAAATTATGAACTTTAAGATTATGGTAAATTATTTTGATTAAATTATTATAATATTTCATAAAAATAGTGTATGTGATAAAACTCCTTGTACGTCTATCTTAATGCGACTAACAACGATGACAATATGAATACATAAATACGCTTATTGCCGCTACATGTAGGATATTTATTTTTTGTTTGCAGCAATAGGAACCACAAACTTCCGACCGGCTCGCATAACATGCCATCCCGATGGTATACGCTTCTAGCAATGCCGTTCCCCGACCAGCAAATTGGCCGGCGTCAGTTCTCTAGGGCTTATAGAAGCCGGGCTGGCTATTTCTCTAACCCGTTATGACAATAATCTCGCACCAACTAAAAAATACACAATATTAACGTGTACAATACCAAAATACAAAACACCATACCCACCTACCTATAGTCTAAGGTACGACTGAAATGTATCCGCACATCATATATTTCCTATTTGCACTATTACCTATATTATTTCTACGATATTGCACATATCTCCGACTTAATATGCTTTTACTTTTTTACACTTAATAATTTTATAGCACACAACTTCGTAAATAAATCTTAACTATAGTTAACATGAATGGGTGCTAGATACCTATACATACGCTAGCGAAAATATCAACATTAATGTTGAAATGTGTAATTGCACCGAATAATATAAAAATAGCTTGTTTTTTAATCAAAAAATGTTTAATTATTTAACCTATGTATTCCATATATGTATGTCATAGGAATCGCAGTGCCAAACACTTCCGCCACCGTGCATCTCCAGATACGAATACGGTGGCTTCATTAGACTCATCAGAATCAGAAAGTCGAGGTGGACTGAATAGATATTATAGACAGGCATGGGAGAACTTGCATCAATCTGCTGTTTCGCCAAAACATTCAAGACATCATCATCATCACCATCATCAGACGAACAGGCGTAAAGAAACAATGGATCCTTCACCTAGAATGGAAAGTATGAGAGATGGCTCTGAATTAGTTGTTAATGATGCATATCATCCACGATCGCAGGACAAAAAGAGACATCATCATCACCATCACCACCAGGGAAGGCCATCTAATAGATACTAACTACAATATTTATAAAGTTATATTAATTAACTAGACTAATTATTTTACCTAAACTTGTGAGGGAGGATAAAAATGCGGATTTTGAAGTGGACGTTACAAAAACAGAATTTTTAAATTTCGAAGTAAATTTCTTTATATTTTAAATACCGTCAATGTTTCTATACGAAAGTTATTCTCATTTAGAAAAATACGAGTCATACATTATCTTATTTACTAATAACTTATTAAATTCTATGTATTGCCATATAATAAGGGATTCATATCTTTGATTTGAGAAGTTTTTATGAACGTTTTATAGGGCGTAGCCATACTATTACCTGAATAATTGTTCTATAATCTCATATTTTGAAAGTGAGTATTAAAAAAAAATAATTGCACGACTGCTTTTAGCCTATTTGATTCAATAACAATTTTATCTTGGTTAATTTCATCATAAAACGAGAAAAAATATACCAAGTCGGGCAACTCTTATTTGTTAAAAAAAATATTTAAAAATAATCTTAGTCCAACAAGAATCATATATCGAAATCCTCATTTTATCCTTGTGTTAATTATGGTCGCCGAATACCCAAAAAGGGTTTGTAATGTCTGCATAGAACATTATATAAATTGTTTTTATTGTTACCTATTCTGGCGTTGAAAATAAAGTCAATAATATTTAAGTTTAATTATACAATTTTAGGGTTGATGTAGGTACAAAATTATCTCTATATTTATATGTACATAATGTAGAATGAAAGTACCTACCAACAAATCTTGTTTTATCAAGTATTATTTATTATTTATTAAAATATATCTGTTTTGTTAGCAGTATAGTATATTAAGAATATTATATAGTATTTTATGTAATTTTTTTTTACTTAGTAAATTTGTAAATATTTAATAATAGTTATGTACTGCCAAAGTGTAATACAATATATTTATATATTAACAATAAAACATTGTACTTTTAATATTTTTAACTTGTCATAATTAGATATTGAATTTCTGTAAATATATTATTGTCTGAAAAAATAAATTATTTTATCATTTTTGACATTAAATTTATTAAATGAACTTATAATTAGTATGGCAAAAAAAATTATTTACAAGTTTAGTAGCTATAGAAAATATTTCAGAGCTGCACCAAAAAAATGTACAGAGTGATACTAAAGTTTTATCCAGTTAATATAACACATTAACCAGTTGATTTAGTTAAATTATCGCTAAAAAGACATGTTTATTAAGTTTATTACAGTTATCAATAAATGTGTTCTGCGAATGGATTATAATGATTTATACAATATATATATATATATTAGGGTGGCCCTCAAAAATCGAATACCTTTTTTATTTTTACGCTACCCCTTAATTTTCTTTTTAATGATCAAAAAAAATGAGCTGTTCAAAATTTGGGACCGATCCGTTAAGGTTAACCCGTGCCCCCGGGCCTATTAAGTTGAGTCGTAGAGTCAAATTTAATAGAAATAACTAATCTATGTCTCATAACTTTTTTTTCTCTTAACTTAGAATAATAAAAGTAAAACTTAAGTAAACGAAATTTTACAAGAAATTCAAAAATAATAACTTCAATGTTGTTTTCTCAATAAATAACCCACAAAAACACTACATACAGTAAAAAACATGTAAAACTCTTAAAATACGTTATAACTGATTTTGTTGATTTTTAATTATTTATTTTCATTTTAATTTTTGAAAAACGCATATTCTTTTAAAAAAAGATTCTAGAAGTTTAATTTTTTATGCCTAGTACGATAATTATATTAGATTTATTATTTTATGGACAGTTAATTAATGATTAATTACAAATTTAACAAAATTGATTGTATTATTACATTTTGTCGTATCAATATATCAATTTTGGTTTACTGAATTACTTTAAGATAGTACCAATTATATTATTATTAAAGATAAGTATATTTGAGTTATTTTCGACAACTGACATAATTTGTGTCGTATAAATGCAGCAGACAATTTGTGAACATGTTAAATATATTTTAACTGTTTATTATTATATATTAAATGATATGTTTTAATCACAAATGTACAATACTTTTAACGTCTTTTAAAGTATGACGAACTAATATTTATCTTATTGGTAATTATTCCCACGAAATAACTGGTAGTAAGTTACCATCAAATTTACAACTATTTAATCTGAATATTGATTTTTTGAAAATTGATCCATCATTTTGGAGTGCAAACAACAGTTACATAAATGCTTTAAATATTATAAGTAAATTACGAGTTATTAATGATACAGCCTAGCGTGGCATTAAATTAATCTAAGACTACATAAAATATAAACTACAAATGAAGAACAGAAACAATACGTTTTACAAATAGTAAGCAATTATCGGAAAAAATTTCCTAATTGTAAAAAAAGTACATTATCAAAAAATATATTATAATAATATAACTTAATTATTGTAAAAAATATTTTTTTTAAAGTTATTATTATTTAAAAAAAAATAAATTAAAAATTGTTAATAACAATTAAATTAAACTGTTAGATTTGTATTAATCATTTATTAACTGTCCATAAAATAATAAATCTAATATAATTATCGTACTTGGCTTAAAAAATTAAACTTCTAGAATCTTAAGAGAAAAAAAAGTTATGAGACATAGATTAGTTATTTCTATTAAATTTGACTCTACGACTCAACTTAATAGGCCCGGGGGCACGGGTTAACCTTAACGGATCGGTCCCAAATTTTGAACAGCTCATTTTTTTGATCATTAAAAAAAAATTAAGGGGTAGCGTAAAAATAAAAAAGACATTCGATTTTTGTGAGCCACCCTAATATATATATATATATCATATATTGATGTACATACAAGGGTTCAGTAAAGAAACAGGTATCTATTGTTCTCATTGTTTGTGACAATTGACCTCAAATTTCCTTACTTACTGAACACCTTGTATATAGATCAATACATGATGAAATAGTAATACCACAGTAAAATGTGCTTTGTGTTCTAGATTTTAGTTAATGTAAGTCAGCTTCAAATATTCAGCTCGATTTTCGTAGGTTTAATGATTCTTATACTTCAATTTTTTATTCAGCTTCACAAGTTCTTTCAAAATCCAGCTGACTATATATAGCAAACTTATACAATAGACACAAAAACCTTTAAGTATGGTAGGAGCTTAGATAGTTTTTAGAAAATAACGTAGTGGGGAGATTTATTTCTTCAATATGATTTTTTATGTCCATAGGTAGGTGGATACAGATTCTGTGGACCTTTGTAAATACACCATGGATATTAATTATAATAAAAATCTCTAGATATATTTAATGATAACAAAATTAATTATTTGACAAACTTATCTTTCTAATGATAACTAATTTGAGTCATGTGGTACTGAGTTACATTAATTTGTAATTGGATGAAGACTTCAAGCACTATGTATTAAGAAAATAAAAATTTTAGAGAAGAGGAACCTATTCAATCTATTTCTTTATAAGTTAGATTGATTGATATAATTCTGCCATAGAAAAATAAGCCAATGCTACAAATATTCAGAAAAAAAATAAAATTATACACATTTAGTTAGCAACATTAAATAGTTATCTTATTATATAATAGAACACTTTACTAAGAAAATTATTTAGCGTGCTCCGATTTTTAAAATTTTTTTTTCAATATAAATACTTGATCACGAGACTACGGGAAAATTGTTGTCGAAGGTCGTAAAATTTTTGGCGCTTGGTCACAAGCGTTTTAAAATTTCAACAGTTTTCGAGAAAATTACCGATGACGTTAGAATTTTACAATTTAAAGCTTGAAATTTTCACCAGACCCGTCCAAACACATTTCTAAGATATAAATTATTTAGGCGATATCAAAAGCGCCTAATGCTCGTAGAGTCCCAGGTACAGCTCCAACTATGCGAAGCCTAGTATTTTATATTAAAACTTTTTTCATTATTTTTAGCTATCTTAAATATTTTCAATAATTTTACAGTAATAAATGATATTTTATTTAATTATAAGTAGATACTCATAGAACTCATAAAAAAATTAGCAATAATGAAATAATTTAATTATATATTTACTAACTGTACATTTGTTTACACTAAAAATAAAAAACCTTAATTATTTGTGTATAAATCATCTATTTTTAAAATTTAATATACTAAAATAAATGATTATAAAGTTAAAATAAATTAATATAGATTGTTGACGAATATTATCATTTGGACTAATAAACTAACAAATAAATTATCTCAAATTTAAAATTATTTGTTTTTGTGCTATTTTACAAATAGAATTGAAATCAATTTTAATATGTCCTCGCCAAAATGGAGAGCGCCCCCAAACATATGCAGGAAAATTAGGACTTTCAACACCGTGGAATATTCTAGCTATAGCCCTAGCAGTAAATTTGCAGTCAGCATAACTATTTATTAGACGATTTATATCAGATACTACTCGTGCCTCGTCAGTTCTATCAAGTACTTCTTCTTTCTGAAAATCAATAATAAAAATTAATATTATCACTATTTTGAATTTAATTAAATTTTTTACTGGTTCTTTTTCTAAAAACATTGATATGTTTTCTTGAGTAAAATAGTCTCTCACATTTTTCTTTAGTTTTTCACACAATGTACTATCAGCTATATTACAACAATCTGAATAGGAATTAGTTGAAATACTGTAAATACAAAAATAAATCTCAAAATGAACATATAAACACTTTGTGTTCAAACAATGTCAAAAATAAAATAAATACCTCATAAATGTTTCATAACAAAATTGTAACTCTGCAAGTGATTTTAATTCTTGCTGATGTGTTCTATTGAACAGATTACAAAGAGCGAGGTCTAATTGATCAGCTTTCATATTACCAGGAGCAAGAACTCTAAAGCCAAGACATGAAAATTCAACTACAACTCCACTTTTTTGATATTTTCCATTAACTGAAAATATTAAATTGAAATTAAATTAGATGTTGGTCAATAAAAAATAACACTAAACTCTATGCACAATGATTAAAGTAATTATTAAAATGACAAATTAAGCCTTAGTCTTTAAAAAATATTCATTCTATACTTATGTCAAATTATGAGCATGCAATTAAATGTATAATTATAATAAGTATAATACAAAAGTATAAGTATCAATTAAAACCATAACTTTTGAATTTTTAAGAAAAAACATTCTAGTTGTTTTATAGACAGTTTGCCAATAAGAATAAAACATATAGTAGTCTGCAAAGGATTACGTAAACAGTATATAACAGAAATCTGATCAAGATCAATTCAGCTATTAATAAGAAAGAACAATATGATGTAAATAAAATCAATAAGTTGTAGATTAAAATTTTTCAAAATGTACTCTGACTTATTGTTTTCACTTACTGGAGGACCATTCTAGTTTTTTTAACTCTTTTTTAATTATTCCACTATCCCAACCAATGATAGCAGCAACTTGAAAAATTGAAAATTCAAATTGGTTTAATTTACTGGCTGATTTTCCTGATTTTTCTTTCAACGCATAGGCTACAGCAAGTGGTGGACACTAAAATAAGAATAATTATTAAACTGCTGCAATATAAAAGTATAGAAAATAAGAATTTTATTTTTTAACATTCTTGAATTCTGAAGGAAAAATAAATGATTATTATATTAACATTTTTAATATAAACCATAAAAATTTCAAAGTTTCAATATCTTAAATATATAAGATTATTTTTATTCAAAAATACAGCTATCAAATAATATTTAATTATTTTTGTAACCCTTTAGACTATACTTTTAAAAATATTGTCAAAATAAGAGATATATTAAATTTAATGTAACTCTAATTGAATTATTAATCTTTACTACGCTTTTTATTCAAAATAGTTCCAGTTATATTTGTTACTAAAATTAGAAATCTACAATAACATTTTTTCGTTTTAAAACATGGCTTAGGGCCAATGACACGGTGGATTTTTGGGATCCTTCAATCACTTTGCCAATTTTAAAGTTAATTTTATCACTTCGATATAATGAAGCACTTTTGACTGATCAAGAAAAAGTAAACTTTATTTTACACAAATTAAGAATACAAATATAAAAAATAAAAAAATTACCCAACACCACAAATAGCACTTACAAAATTTATAGACGTTTATTATGAAAATAATGTTTTTATTATCAGCGTCAAACAGATACTTCACAAGTAATCAATTATTTAAATTTTTTTAGTTTAACTTAATTATTTTTTAATATAAATATCAATTTGTAATTTTAATTTTGTAATGATATAACTTATAATAAGTTAATTCTTTATTTTTATGAAACAAAATTAAAAATAAATTCATTAATTACTATAGACACACTCAAATTATTTTCTTACCATTTTAGATAATTGTTTCAAAAATAGTGGTCCTTTATAGCACGTTATTTTACATAAAGTATAAGACAAAGGTAAATTTTTGATTAATTTATCAGTGTCTAATTCAAGATAACATAGAAGTGTTTGTATATTTTCTTGTTTCATATCTAAACTTGAAACAGTATCTTCAATTTCAAAAGCAATTTCATGTTTAACACAATGATCTTCTTTACAATTACATTGTACAAATACTCTTTCTAAAAGTTTTCGGATAGAAGCTCTATCAACAGAATTGGCGTATATATGGCGACTTAATTCAGCAATATCATTACCCTATTTATAAAAAATACAATTTTTAAAATATCTACAATTTATTAATACAAGTAATGTACAATTTAATTTTGTAAGTTGCAGGATTAAAAAAAACTTATATTGTAGGAGTAATATAGTTATAATAAGAATTTAATTCTAAATCTTATTTTTTTTAAGATAGGATAAAACACAATTTAGCAAGGTAAATATTGTTTTAATGAAAAATTGTTATTTGATACTTGTTTTATCGATTAATAATTATCAATTAATTAACTTTAAAACTGAAAGTTTTTTAAAGTTTATTTGGAAAATTTAATATACTTTTATTCTACACAATATTAACCTAAAAAACGAATTAATTTTTAATGTTTAATAAATAAAAATAATACATGTTAGTGATATGTTTTTATATGCAATTAAGACCAATATTTTATTAATATTAGAGAATTACAATAAAAAATAAAATAAAATTATTAATGGAAAAAACATTTATCATTATTTATATTTTATATCATCTCTTAAAAGTTTTTGGTTGTGTTAGAGAGGATGGAAAAATCTACATTTTACTGATTGAGCTTTGTAGTTTTGCCTTTTGTTTTTCAATTAAAGAGCAGTATTAGGTTCTAGTTTTATTAGGTTTTTATTTTCATAAATTAAAAATTGTTATTAGTGTTTATTATAATTTATCAAACTAAAACAGATATTATTTTGTATATAAATCTGGGATAAATATAGTTCTTCATTGTTATATAACCTCAGATTCTAAAAACATGTGACATTGAGCAATGCTTCCATCTCGCCCAGCCCTTCCAATTTCTTGCACGTAGCTTTCCAAACTTTTAGCCATATTGTAATGAATAATACCTTGTAAGTTAGATTTATTGATTCCCATTCCAAATGCAACTGTTGCTACTACAATTTTCAGTTGACCTGAAAATGTTTAACATTTATATAATATTATACTTAATGTTAAATATTCTCGAATATAACAAAATATTATTACATTACCACTCATAAAATATTTTTGAGTTCGTTTTCGTCTTGTTGCAGTCAATCCTGCATGGTAAGGCTCAGCAACTTGAGATAATTGACCACGTTTTCCATTATTACTATGTTGTGACTAGAGAATATTGTAATTAAACTTTAATTAGATACATTTTTTTAGATAATTAGAACAATGTAATTATAATACAAATCTAGTAAAATATATTGTTTAATTAAATAATTTTTATTGTAATAAAATGTACATTTTTAGTAACATACACTGATAATGCAAAAAACCTAAATCTTATAATAGGCAATTTGAGTGGGGTATGTTAAAAGTAAAAGAGATCTCAGCTTTCTAAAAGCTTGTACAGAGTGAGCTATAATATTTTATATTTCAACCTTAAAATACTTAAAAATAAATTAAAGAAAATTATGTAAAGTAATTAAGTTTTAAAAAATACTCTATGTAAAATGTCTGTATAGATGGAGGTTTTCTTTCAGGCATATTTAAAGTTTATTTTTTATGATATCATTTTTATCATTGAAAGTATTGTCAGTGGAAGTTGACAACATATTCTAAAATACTTTCTAAATCAGATAACCTTACAATATAAAACTGTAAAATATCAAAAATAATTTAAAAGCTTTCCAAGAAAAATATCTACATCTAAACAGAGATCATATAAATAGTGTGTTTTTTTTAATTAGGTTACTAATATAATTTTAGCTTTAATGTGAATCTGAGAAGATATTAATTTAATAGATATGTATTTATTTTAGGGTATCCTACATTAATTAATATACACTTGAAGAAATTTTGGGGTTTAAATATTATTAATATGGTAACCTAATAGAAATAAAAAAGAAATAATACAATATTTTTACTCTTATAGAATTTTTACTAATTTTTTTACCTGAAAATTAGTTCTAATAAATGAAGCAATGCGTTCACATTCTTCACGTTTTATACAATAAACTATTATTGAGTTACAATTTTTAAATCGTTCCCCATGCAACAAATTTATTAGAGCATTATCACGATCTTTATCTTTGGAAATACTTAGTACTAGATTATCAGGTAAAGGAGTATCTTTAATTACAGAATCAGAATCTTCTTTTAACATCAATTCATTTGCAATACTAGCAACTGTCATTACAGTAGCAGTAGCTGTAAGAGCCAGTAGTGTTTTAACACCAAATTTTTCTCTTAAAACCTGAAATATAAATTAAAAACTACATATTTTATTCTTCATAAAATAAATATTTTAATTTAGTAATAAATATTAACTACCTGACAAATCATTAGATAAGAAGGCCTGAAATTATGAGACCATTGAGATAAACAATGAGCTTCATCTAAACATGCAAAGGCTATAGGAGGTAGTTTATTTAACCATTCTGTGTTAAAACCAGATACAATTGCTTCTGGAGATACAAGCAGAATTGCTAACTCACCATTAACTAATTTTTCTAAAATCAAATCACGCTCTTTTGGAGATTGATTGTTATGTATACAGGCCATATTAACAACATCAGTTCCTCCAACCTTAACATAAATAATAAACCATGTAACATACACTATACTAGAAAGAACAATTATATAATTTATCAATACAATTTTTAATATAAATATACTTCTGATAAAAATATATTTATAAGTAGATATTTAATACAGGTAAATTGCTAAAATTAATTTTTTTAGTTTAATATATAATAAATATACAGTGTCTCAGGAAATTTGACATAAATTGATAATTTGGTAGCAAAATATGTCCTCAATATTTTGTAATTATATTCCTAGGACATTTTTAAATTTGAATTTTTCTCATGTTTGTATTACAATATCAAATGTTGGTCTGTATTATCAGAAATGGATAGACGTAACACAATTTTTGTTATCACTTGAGTAAGCTAAAATACTTAATTTAATTAAACTTGATAACTAGAATCAAAAATACAATAATAGTATCGTCGGTTTTATTACCCATCATACAATTTCAATTACCGTAACTACTGTGACTGTATTAATAAATTTTTTCAAACTTTTTAAGTCAATGTACTAGTAAGTATTTAAGTATTGTTGATTTATTATTTACATTTGTCTTAATTATGTTATTGTTGTTTTATTTGATTAGGCTTTAGCAATAAGGGTTATTGACTGTGATTACATTAGTAGTAATTATTTAAAGTAAATTACAGATTAATCATTAAATAGTTATTACTAAGTAATTAAAAATTTCTGATATCAAATTATCTTATAAGAATCTAAAGAATGGATTTTTTATAATCGTATGTAAAAATTTATAATTCAAATAATAACCATTATACAAATGTAAGACTAACAATAACTTACGTTATTTGACGTTTATTCAGTGGTGTTTAGAGTATATACTAATTTGTGAGTGTAACCCTTGAATATAAATAGTACATACATTTTATTTTTCAAAGGTATACATTAGATAAAAAAAAAAAATGTTAGTATGTACACACTGTATACCTCCCAAAATTCTTCTGTGATTATATTCATACATATAAGTTTAAAAAGATTGTGTTTTATTTTTATCATTCTCTGATGAGTATAGACTAACTTTTGATATTATATTATAAACATAACTTTTTTTTTACAAATTTTAAAATGCTCTAGAAATTTAACTATAAAACATTAAGAACAGATTTTTCTACCAAATTTGTTTCTTATACTTTACTCTATAAAATAGCAATTTAGATACTTTTTTTTAACATTTCTGTTAATTTTTTAAAATGTTGATTATCTTATGGATAAACTAAAAATAATTTAGAAATTAACAACACAATCTTTAATTAAATACAACTATAAATATAAATGTAAAAGGTAGGGATGCAACTTCCACTTGTATAAATGGAGAACTAAATATTTGCAAAAAACAGCTTTATATTGAAATGATCATTATTCAAAAATTAAATGTTATATGTATAAATATGATTTGTAAAGATCATATATTAGAGGGTGGATCAAAAAAAGTTCTTTGAAATTTTAATGAGAACCATTTTAACTTTATTTTATACATTAAAATAGGCATTTTGTGAAAATTTAAGATTTTTAAAAAGAAATTTACTGGTGGCTCAACATTTTTTTAGTATTTTGACCAAATATNAGAAATTTACTGGTGGCTTAACATTTTTTTAGTATTTTGACCAAATATACCCCAAAAAACGACCTCTGTTATTCAATTTTTGGTCAAATATTATGATTAGTATATCAAAATAGTTTGATTTTTACTGTAGAATACAAATTTTTTAGTTTCAAAATTTTAAGTCAAAAATTGATAGAATATATCATAATTATGATATTTTAATAATATATTTCTAGTAGATTTCTAGTAAGCTTAAATTTTTTTTTTTTTTTTTTTATGTTTGTCTTATATTTATGTATATTATAAGTAGAAAAAAAATCCTTCATTAATCTTAAAAACTTATACTTTTTTTTATAATTAATGCATAATCTAACACATACAATATTCTTGAAAATATGAATAAATGAAGATTGTCTTTACATACTTTTCAAATATTTTTTTTCTATTAAACACTTCATTTTTTATTTAATGTAATAAATAATATAAGAATACAGTTTTATGTGTATGATAAAATTATACATCAATATAAATTTAATTAAAATGATGAAAAAGAAAAAATTCATTTTGGGTTTTATTGATAATTTGTTCGTTATAGATTCGTATTTATTCAAGTACCGTAATTATTTCACTTTATGCTTATTTAATTATACTAGAGATTATGCTATCTGTAATATTGAAAAATTTACAATAATTTTAGCGAATTTAATCTAATGATAATTTAACATCAATTAGTTTTGATCAGCTTTATTTGTTATTCATTGGAAAACTGTACAAAAAAAAAATTATAATCCATCCACTAGGAGCAATTCATAGAGCAAGATGGATGGAAAAAAGAATATATTGTCTTAAGATTTATATGTTCCGTATGCAATTTAAATGAGCAGTTTTGAATTAAAGATTATTCAGGTATTTCAATTTATTTGTTTTAAAATCAAAAATACATTTTATAAATGTATATAAGATATTGATTCATAATACAATTAAAAAAAAAAATTTAAGTTCATATCCAATAAAAGCACCACAAAATTTTGAAACTAAAAAATTTGTATTCTACAGTAAAAATCAAACTATTTTGATATACTAATCATAATATTTGATCAAAAATTGAATAACAGAGGTTGTTTTTGGGGTATATTTGGTCAAAATACTAAAAAAATGTTGAGCCACCAGTAAATTTTTTTTTAAAAATCTTAAATTTTCACAAAATGCCTATTTTAATGTATAAAATAAAGTTAAAATGGTTCTCATTAAAATTTCAAAGAACTTTTTTTGATCCACCCTCTAATATATGATCTTTACAAATCATATTTATACATATAACATTTAAATTAAAATTTTGAAGATCGACTTTTTTTGATCGACCCTAGCATTTATGACAAATTCAATATAACATAGTAATATTTTAAAATATAATTATTATTAAGGCATATCATATAAATTCTTTGCTAAGAAATCTCAATAAATTAACAAGTTTATGTATTTTTAAATATTGCACAACTAAAATAATACACTTGCAAAATATATCTATAATAATTATAAGTAGCTAAAATATGTTTGTAAAACAATTATTCAGTTATAATTATAATAATAGTTATAAATGTTATGCTCCTTGACTTTACTAAAGTCAAGTTTTTCTCTTTTTTTTTTGTTTTTACTTCTTGTTTGTCTAATTATTCTATTTCTTTTATGATTTTTTTTTTATAAAAAAATACTTTTCTCTAAAACTCTATTAACAAACATACTATTGGCTACTTTGTGCACTCCTATGCTGTTTAATATAACTTATTAATTATATAATGCTCTTAAAATAATATATTTGTTATAAATATCTATGATTAAAATGATTCTTGCAAAGATAATAGTGGGTCTGAAATATTTATAAATTCTTGAAAACATGAGTAGTACACATTCATAAGGTTTTTTTTTCATGTAGGATTTACCTCAATTTTGCTAGTCAATCTTAATAAAAAATTTTTTCCTCCCCTATATTCCACTAATTTAAAATTTAATATACATAGTGTTTTTCAAGACTAACTTTAGCTGTTAAATATTTTGCTGGATTGCCCCATAATGTAATACATACCTGTTTTTTATGAATGGTTTTAAAAGGTATAATGACGTATCTTAAATAAAGATTTCTCTTAATTTATATGTGAGCCCGGCTAGTGAGACTTTACTTTCTACTAGATTAAATTTCTTGCAAACTCCAACAATATCTATTGAGTATTAGTCTTGTGTTAAATTTATAATTGTTTATTAATATACAGTTGGATTTTCTTACAAACAATTGTTTTATTAACAAACCAAACCATTAAGTTTTGATATTGTTGTAAACTTTGGTAGCGTTTGTATATTATTTTAATTTTGTATAATTTTAACATTAAATATATATTTAATTTTAAATTGGATTATCTTTTATTAAACAATTTGTTTTCAATTATATTAGTTGGACTTGTTAACATTCTCCTGTTAAATATAGGAACATATATTTTAGTAAAATTTTTTTTCTCTTCTGTATTCAACTAATTTACGACTTAATATTTATAATGTGTCTCCCACTTTCATCTTAAAATTTTGTGCTCCACTAAATTTGTATTGATTGAATATTTAATACCTTCCTATATTCTTTGTTGCATTAAGCAAGTGTTCTTATTATTTTACTTGATTAGCTTCATCTATATTCTGTTCATTTTTAATATTTGAATATGAAATTTTTTGTCTTTTTATTTGATAATCAACTGATTAATTACTTGCCATTTGGTAGACATAATTGATTTGGTGGTTATGTGTAATTTGATATATTTATTTGTTAAAATTTAACTTAATAACATAATTTTGGCAGTAGTTTTTATCTGACATACAAATTGTTTATGCACATGTGCAGCCTTATTTTTTATTTACTATCTTAAGCTAGGACACTATATATATATATATAGACTTTCTAATGTTAATTTCATTATTTAAGTAATGGAACTAATTTTACTGCTAAAATTCTTAAAGTGTCGGTAAATACATAAAATACTGCAAAACTTACTTGATCTTCCATTAAAGATATAAGAGGAGAAATCACTAGTGTTATACATTTTGATTTTTTATGGTAAAGGTAGGCAGGTATCTGATAGCATAAAGATTTTCCTGTTCCTGTTGAAAGTGTAACTAAAGTAGAAAGCCCAGACAAAATACGCATAATAGCTTTCTCTTGACCTTGACGAAAACTATTATGGCCAAATAATTTAAGAGCTTTAAATACTTCATCAGGAGTTTCTGCAAAAATTTTAATTGTACTTAGTTCCTTAAATATTATTAAAAACAAATAAAATTAAGTTTATGTAAAAACTTACATTTACAAAGTGATTCTTTTAATGATAGGCACATTTTTTTTTTTTGGCTTATGTTATTTATATATGTATATCTATTTATCTGATATAAAATATTTTTTATGTTCATCACATACATAAGTCTTATAGGGGTGTCAACTTTATTTATTCAAATGGCAATGTATATAATTAACTAGATTATTTATTAAATAATGATGTAAATAAGAATATGGCTGGTTGATTACAATTTTTAAACCAGTATCTTTAAAATTTAATGTAATGACTGGAGATGAGAAGTGGATACTGCTATTTTAATACGAGACATTTCTTGGGCTCACTCCTCCTCCTATCTAGGTAAAAAAATGTTAATAAGTTCTGAAATACTGATCCAAAAGTTATTATCGACCAGTCATTTGAAAAAATAAAGTTGACACCATTATAAGTGATAAACATGAAAAATAATTTTTAATAGATAAATAGAAATATATGTAAATAACAAAAGCCAAAAAAAATAATCATTAGGTTATTAAAACTAGGTATAAAAATAATCATTTCAAAGAGAAATTAGGTGGCTAGCGTTTAAATATTCATCCTGTAGATAACTAAAAGAGATCACAAATTTTTTTTCCAATAATTTATTTATTTTGCGAATAATCAAGTGGTTTATGATAAACTAATGACTCTATATATTTTTATTAATAAATAATAATAGTAAGTAATAAATTATATTTTACATAATATATTAAATCTGTTTTTTCGAAAATCAATATATTTAAAATGCATTAAATAATTTAATTTCAAATAATTTTGATTGTGCATATAATTTTTTAAAAAACCACATGCAATTTTCATACAATATATTCATAAAATCCAATAAAAAACAAATATCAGTTATTTCACTTATTGTTTATTTTTTATGACAATAAAATAAGAAAATTAATAATAAACTATATTAATTTCAAAAAAATTTTTAGATGTATATTTTTAATTTATTCTAATATGAATTTAATATTTTATCAATTGAACAACTCTGAAAGAAATTTCACTTCACCCACAAGTACTCATAACACCCACTGGTCTTTTATTTTAATTAACTTACTTAAAATAGATTTATCTGCGTTCAGAGCATATAATGGCTTAATAACTTCAGATCGTAATAGATCATCTACAGGAGGTTCAAATTGTTCAATCATATGACTATTATCATCATCTCTCTAAATATTCCAAAGTATCAATAGTTAAAATATATAACAAATAATAAATCTAAATCTTAAATAAAAAAACAATATGAAATCAATTAATTTATTATTTACCTGTAAATTTAATTGACTTTTTGACTTTATATTATGAACTTTATCTTTTTTTTCTTGAGCTAGTTTTTCTGCTTCTTCTAAAGTAAGAAAAGGGCTTTCATCTTCTTCAATATTATCTAATGGAATTAATTCATTATCTAGACCAAATAATTTTAAATAATAAATAGAAATCATAAAACATAATTTGTTACTAAAACTTTTAAATTAATAATATAACTAACTTTTTAAGCAATTTTTAGAATAGTGTCCAACATCACCACATTTATAACATTTTAATAATGAGGAGGAATTTGTTGATAAGAAGTCATCTCTTAGTTCTTTTTTCCTATTTTTCCATTGTGTTTTCTTGTAAGTAGTTGTTTTCATGGATCTTTTACCGCGACTATACATTTTTCTTTTCATATCTAAACGTATAAAATTTTCATTGGCTTTACCATTAGAAACTTTAGCTTCCAACTGTTGTTTTTTAATATTATCTTTAATTGATGATTTAATATTTGTATTATCTTGAAATTTTATTATTTTTGGTTGCTGTACTACTTCAGAAAAATCATCATCTGAATTGTAGCGTTTTTTGGAATTTCTATCAACAGTATTAATATGAAACGTTTTATTAGTAATTACAGTTACATTAGTTATAACTTCTTGAGCTTTGATTCTTTGAGATGAATATAATGGAATATCTTGTGTTTCATTATCACTTTCATAAACAATATCTGTATCACTCTCTACTTCTTTGGATTGAACTATGTCAGATTTTATATTTATATTTAGTTTTGGAGCTTGTGAATTACTTTCATTACATCTTTCTAACCAACCTTTATCTATTTTTTTATGAATATTAACTAATTTAGGATTTCTTTCTAACAAATTAAAATTTTTTTGTAATATGTTCAATGAATGTGATATAAAAGTAGAGGAATTAGCATTTTTAATAGTATTATTAATTAAAAGATCAGAATCTCCATTATTTATAGATAAATTTGAATCATCATGAAATGCACTATCTTCTTGCACACTTAATTCACAAGTTTTAGAAGCATCAACACTAATACTTTGTGAAAAGGTAGGCTCATGGTTTTTTTTTTTTACAAGGCTCTTTCTGGGATTCCTTTTTTTAAAATCACATCCATCAAATAATTTTTTGGTATATTTAATTGAAACGCTATTATTAATTTGTTTAACTGTATCTTCACTTATAGTTTTAGGTTTGATACTTAAATGTTTACCCCAAACAGATGATTTGTTGATATTTAATGATTGTTCTTGAACATTTTCATCTTTTGCTTTATGGACTTCAGAAGTATTATTAAGAAATAAGGTCTCATCAATGGTAGAATCTCCAATATCATCTAGTTCACCTAGTAAACTTTTCTCAAGTAATGAAGTTTTCATATTCCAATACATTTTGTACGCATATCTAACTTTTTTATCCGCTAATTTAATATCATCCTAAAAAAAGATAATATTTTGAATTCAATAGCAATCAAAATGGTTTTATCATGTGGTATAAAAAAAAATAATTATTAAATTCTTTACTTTTTCGGGTTTTCGGTTATTCTTTTTAATGAAATCATTTTCCCATTTTTTCACTATGACTTTATACTTAGTGTAAGGATCGCTAATCTCCATTGTAGTTAAATATTTTAAAACAACATTTCCTTAAAATTTTATAATTATTTAAAATTTTAAAATAATTACACAATAATCATCATAAAATTATTAATATGTAATTCATATTTTCTACTAAGTAAACGACAATTTTTTAGTTTTTTAAATGAAGATATCACAGTGTAGCCATATTAACAATGTTGATAACAACTAACAAAATTCGTTTAACATTACAGATTAATTATTCAAATTCTGAATCTTTACGGTGTGAGTAGGTATGATAAGATAAAGACACAGATACATAATAAAACTTTGTTATTTATCAGTGGATAAAAAACTGAATCACTATAGGAACTAATTCTTTTCATAAACGTGCACAGTTTTAAAATATTACAATTGTTGGGTTTTAACGATTCGAGATAACCGTTTTCTGAAGTGATATTATTTCCATTGTGTATTTAAACAGAAATATAAAATATTTTTTAATTCTGAAAATATTGTCGATAATATAACTTATAAGTTTTCTGTTTTAATTAAACTGAATTAAATACTCAAATTTTATTTTTATTTATTGTATTATTTATCAAAAAGTTATTTTTATAAGTTTTTCTTTATTTACTAAAAAATTTGTATCTTTTTATATATTAGTCTTTTGTATGACATTAAAATGGAATTCGATGATAAAGAAGTTGAACGACACCTGGAAGCACTAGGATTTGAAAATATAGACCCTCTTATGCTACAAACATTTATTAAAGGTTAATTACATGAATATTTAATAATAAAAAATGAATCAATATATATTAAGATTGTTATGGAGATTATTGTTGAAATATTTAAAGATAGACTAAGTAGATTTTTAGTATGGAAGGTAGCCATTTTTAGAACTACGACTTTATAGGTAAATGTGTTTTTAAGTTTTTGTGTAGAAGTTTTCTAAGAAATGTAAAAATTTTACATTTTACATTACTTTTTCATTTTAATTTTGTATTGAAAATACAAACATATAACATAACTATTTTTATTAAAAAAAAAAATTGTTCGTATAATATTAGGTCAAATTAATATGTTTTCAGAAGATTTAAAATAGACATATTTTGATGAAAAATTGAAATATTTAATTTATAGTTATGTAAAATTGAATCATTTATGATTGCTATAAGACAGGAGGTACCAAAATAATTAAACTAAATACATTGCTGTATTTTATTTTTAACATAAACAAGGGTGTAACTAAAAATATAAGAGATGTTTGATAATTAAAATGTTTTAACTTTACTTTACGCATTAAATTCATTATTAATTTTATATAAATTTCATACCCAAAATTTCAGATTTAAAAAAATTAATCATATATGAAAGAAAAAAGAAGAAAAAAGATACAATCTCACAAATGGAAACAAATGAATATAAAATTGAAGAAAAAATTCAAAAACAGATTATCAATTGCAATTGTACATGTTGTACTTTAAAAAATCAAGATGTATTTGACAGATTATCATTCCCAATTACAAAAAACAAGATTTGTCCTAAATCATTATCATCTGTTGGAGTTCAAACAGACCCGTGTTTAAAAAAAATAAGTAAGTTTGATAATGGAATTAATTTTCCCATATTTTTCTTAATGGATAAAATATATCTAATATTCTCAAATGTCTAGATTCTTCTAGACAATAGTTATATACATACATATATATATATAGATGATTTACTACTTTCAAGTTAATTATAGGCTGTTTTATTTTAAATTAAAATGTATGGGGGTATTTTTTTTTTTTTATCACCGTTTATAAATATACTAGTCATAATATTTGAGGTTTTTTGTGATAAAATGACGTGTTGTTTACCTTCTTTTATTTTATTAAGATTATTTAGTGTTGGTTTAAAACAATAATTATCACTATTGAATATTTTCTCTTTCCGTCTCAATTGTTTAAGTAAAAATTGCTTGTTAATTAGAATTAAAATTTTTTAATTTTAATGTATTCAGTTGACAAAACATTTTGATCATTTGAAATTAAATTAATTCCTTATATTTGTTAAATTTTATTCTTTTTAAAATTTAAATTTATATACTTGAGAAATTATGTAACCAAATTATAATTTGCATAGAAAATGATGAGTATTCGCATTCTTCAAAGACTAGACCTATGGATCCAGTTTCTTTATATCAATTTTACCAATCTGAATGGCACAATCATAAAGTGCCCGGAGAAAAAAGTCATGATCAGCTAAGATGGAATGTTAGACAAATGATGAAACGTAAATAAATGTTATATATACAAGACTTTAACAATAATAAATTTTAATTTTACTAACCAAGTTGTTTTTATTTAATTAATTATAATTTTTCTTTTTTTATGAATAGTAACATTTTTAAAATTATTATTATTTAACAATTTTTTTTTTTATATTTATAAAATAAAACATCACCAATTTTCTTCTTCATCAACACTGTTTATTGTCTGTAAAATAAAGACATTTTTGAATAATTTATATACCAAAAGGTTAAATATGAACACAGATGTTACTTGTCTTATATCAGTATCTTCCAATTCTTCATCATTGTTTGTAATTTCATTATCCTTAATTTCTTGTCCTAGCTTACTTAACCAAAAAGGAATTTCTTGATTTGCCTAAATTTTGAAATGTAAATATGTATATATACAGATTATCCACTATTTTTCACTCAATATCTTCAAAAGTATTAGATAAAGTATGAATTTTTTTTAGAAGTTATTAGTATACGTAGTATTTTACGTACTTGTAATTAACACAAAAATATATAGTCCTATTCTCACTCCTACACCTTTAAAATTGTATTATCTTAAGTTTTATGAATGGAACAAGTATGTTTAACATGCTAACAACTAAGAAAATAGCTGGTCAATAATAACTTTAAAACCAGTATTTTGGAAGTTGTTATCATTTTTATACTTAAGAACAAAAATTACACTTTATCTAACACTTTTGAAGATATGGACATAATGGATTATTCTGTATATACAGATGGCTCATCAGTTTTGAGACATCTTTAATAACTTTTATCCAGCAAATATTTTGAAACTTTTCTAGTTTTAGACTAAGGTAAAGCATATTGTTTTACAATAAACATATTATTTGTTTTCAATCATATGATATGTATATGTACACCTACATGTTTGAAAAATATTCAAAAAATTAATTTATACAGTTTTTATTAGAGATAAATAATAAAATACATGCTTTTTATATAGTCTAAAAATGTTTTACAAAAAATTACAGTATTATGATTAGTGGTTCAAAAGTTATTAGTATAATATATCTTTGTAAATCTCCTTATGTACATATATTAAATTTTTAATTTCTTACGAGTGCTAGTGTTTTGATAAGTGGCTGTGTTAGTGGGTAGTCATAATCTGGATCAAAGAATGATGTTGATTTCCCTACATTACCAACTCTACCAGTACGACCAATTCGTTGAATATATTCTTCAATTGTTTCAGGCATGTCATAGTTAATTACATGATTTACACATTTTATATCTATAGATTTAAATTAATAACAAGTCATCAATAACAGGTATTAATAATTGATTTAGTTTTTATAAAGTTTTTCAAAATTATTAGTTAAATTTATAGTTTAGTCAATGAGAAATTCTAATGAATGTTTAAGATTTTTTATACTTTGAATTTTTGCTATTTTAAACTTGATATTTGTAACCAATCCAACTCAGCTCAAATAAAGCCGAAATAAAATTTCTTACACTGTGATTAAAACTGCTAAGTCAATTTTCAACAGAAATTAGTTATTTTTACTTGTATTTTATGATGCACTTAATGGATTTAATAAAATTTTACAAGGAAATATAGAATATTTTTTGAATAAATTATATATAATAACCCAACCAAGCTAAGAACAGTGGTACCTATTTCCACCCTTACTGGATGTAAAGGTCTGTGAATTTGTTAAGTCTATGATATTTGTAGGAATAGTTTTTGTATTATACTAGTTTCTAAATAAAATTTAATGATTTTTATTAGAAAACATTTACCTAAACCTCGTGAAGCAACAGCTGTAGCAACAAGAATATACATCTTTCCAGAAACAAAATCAGAAAGAGCTCGTTCTCTCTGTTCTTGTAAGCGATCTCCATGAATACTGATAGAAGGAAAATGTTTTTCACATAAATAAGTTGCAAGGAAGTCAGCAGTCCATTTCTCTTTAACAAATATAATTGTTCCTTTAAAGTCTAGGGAAAAAATGAATGAATGATTAATGTAATATTACTTGCTATTACCCCCACAATTATACTTTACCTTTATTTAGTACATCAATAAGAGCTTTACGTTTTTTGAATTTACTAACGTGATAAATATTTTGTTTAATGTCACTAGATGCACTGCTAACAATGCCTACAGATAAAAACAAGTAGTTTTTTTTTAAATAAGATGCTGCAAGTTGCTGTATAATATCAGGCAATGTTGCTGATACCATTATTGTTTGTCTTTTGGCCTAAATTATTAAATTAATTTTTATATATTCATTAAATTTTAAAAAAAGATTTCAAGAGAAACAAAACACTGGGCAGAGTATAAAAATGGTGTATGTATCACTATATTTAAATCAATTTTTGAAGTACTTAATTTATCTTAATGCATTAAATATGTAGCTCAATTTATTGGTGACACTCAGTTCTATCAATTTACGTAACATCATGATTTTTAAACTAATTGTAACATACACCAGTCTTTCTGATAGTTTTTAGATTATATTATTACAATTAATTAATTTTTTTATTATTTAAACTCACAACTGAAGGCATTGAAGGATGGTCAATAACTTTATCGACATCATATTTTAAGTCTGTTTCTAGCATTTTATCAGCTTCATCCAAAACCAATATTTTTACAGAACAAAATGAAACAAAGCCATGTTGAATGAATTCATTTAATCTTCCAGGTGTTGCAATAAGTATGTGACACCCTTTCTATATTTTGATTTTCATAATATAAAACAAAAAATATTTACTAACTATAGTTATAAAATATGAACCTAAGTTTGAAAACTTACAAGAATTTGAGTCTTTTGATGTTCAACAAGAGTACCACCATAACAAAGTAAAGATGTAATACTAGTACCCCTAGTTAATTTCAAAACTACTGTTTTAATTTGTACAGCAAGTTCTCTAGTAGGTGCCATGATGACTACATATGGTTCACTATGATTACTACTTTTTATTATATCATGTGGTCCAGAAAGAATTTCTAGTATAATAGGCAGAATAAATGATACCTATGAACAAATAATTATAATTATATCACATCTAGGATATAGCATCAAAATTAGAAAACAAAATGAATAACAGGCATATAATATATATATGTATATTTTAATAATATTCAATAACATATTTGATTAAATTATGAAAAATAATGCAACTTTAATATTATATAAGAAAGAGCAAAGAAGTTTTGAATATTTTAGAAAAAAAAATTATTTTTGGCATAAGATTGCCCAATGCTCTTCCTCTTCAAAGATTTTTTTAACCTTACATACACTGGAATAGTATTTTATTAAAAAGTGTTTAATTTAAAAATCAGCAAGTATATAATAGATTCATCAAAAAACATTTATTAGTTTTTGCATAAAATTAATATAGAGTTGTTAATTTGTTCAAACATATTACATTTTATTTTTAAATAGTAAAATATGTAAAAGGGCTATAAGCATAATCTTACAATTTCACTAAATTTTGATATTTTTCCACAATTTATTTATAGTTTTTCTTAAGTTCTCCTCAGTTATTTATTGTCTTCAAAAATGTTTAATAAATTAATTTTTCCATAGATTAAAAAATATTTTTATACAATTAGGTCAATTTTTTTAAATAATTAAAGAGCTATGATAAAAGAAAGCATAGCAACTTAAAGCCACCTCTGAAATTCCTTTGCCTTATGCCTATGAAAAAAGTACCTAATAAATACTGAGCATGGTATCATAAACCTAATTACCAAATTTTTTTTACAAAGAAGTAAACTTTATACAAACTACCAACAATGAGTTTTTATAGATACACAACACTTTAAAACTTTGATATTCATTTTGTTACATTATGTATATTTTTTAACCAAGGAAAAATATGAGGAACGTGATAAAACATTAAGTTTCTTAAAAATTAAATATTTGTAAATTCATAAAATTCATAATTACCGTCTTTCCTGAACCAGTTTGTGCAGAGGCCATAAGATCTCTTCCTGTCAAGATTATAGGGATAGTATATTTTTGAATTGGAGTTGGTTTAAAGAATTTGCATTTCTTAATATTTTCCATCAATAAAGGGAATGCTTGACAATAGTCTTCAAAACTCTCTATTTTTTTTGGTTTATCTTCTCCACTAACTTTAATATTTTCATTTAATTGTTCAAAATAAATTCCACAGTTTATTCCAGTGTTGTAAATTGATTCATCATTTTCATCTATTTCAGGTGGAATATATGTTGATCTTGGTACCAAACAAACATTATCTTCTTTAATATTGGAATTTGATGAACCAGATATTGAGTGTTTAATATGACTCAACATTTTAAGTGTTGTTTTTATTTTGTATATTACTCACTGAACAATTACTGATCTAATTAAGACATTTTCACAGCTAAAATATATTGGATAAATTTAATAGGTGTGTTTATTAATAATGTAGCGACCAAAACATACGCAACGAATATTCTCGAATGTTCTCGTTATCAAAAACCTTCGAGAAACTTCGATAACGCCATAAGATAACCTACGCGGGTATAGAATATTCTAGAATTAGCGAGAGCCTTATCGGAGCTATATATATATCGGAAGAATCAGTCAGTCAGTTAGTTCAGTTCAGACTGTCTAGTCCGCGATACGCTACACGACCGCTACACCCCGCCGCTGTTGTCATCGTGTATTATGTTTACTTCGATTATTTTATTTTTCCTTACTGTATATACATATATTTTCTTTTAGTGTTTATACGTCTATTTTCGTGTTATAATTTTGTTTAATAAAAGTCTACCGCCATTTAAATAATTGTGTGTTGTAAGATATAACCCACAATAATAATAATAATAATAATTGTTATTATTTTAACAATAAATAAATAGACTATATTTATTTTTTTGTCTTTTACTTTTAATTTACTTGGTGAAATAAGAGGTAGGATAAGAGCATTAGTTATTGACAGTTTACGATCCTTTACCAATTTATATGATTAATATAACATAGAATCTTTTTAAAGGTCCAGATAAATAAACTATAATATCCTTAATGAATCATAGAGTTAATTCAAAAATAAAAGTTTTTAATTAATCTAGCTGATAGCCACAAGAAAAATTGATGATAAATAGAATACATGATATAATCAAAACTATTAATAAATATTATGTTAAATTAATAAATTTAAGAATACTTCATTATAGAATATTTTTTTTTTGTTGCACAAAATTATGTCACGACCTACTATAATTTATGTGTCAACAATTTTAGATTTAAAATATTCTTTCTAATCACAAATAATGTAATAATAAATTTATTATGTATAATAGTGGATCGAATAAATAAATTACCGTGTAATACTAACCATTCTTGTGTAAAATTATAATTCACAGAATATTGAAAAGTATAAATGTAATTTTCAAACATTTTAGATAATATAATATACTTTAAACATACAATCAATCGTTCGTTGAAATACTAATTCTACTAGCAGAATGCCGTTATTTGAGTGTGTAGTTAGGACACGATGGTTTATCAATTTTAAATGCTATATTGATAATACTCAACTTTCCCGGTGAAAACTAAACTGAATTTGTGTTATTGTTGATTAATTTACTTAACCTTTCTCGATTATGCACATTACCAAAAAATGTCAAAGTCTCATAAATCGTTAAGAAAAATGATACTATTTTTTTAATATCGATATCATTTCATATTAACGAATGTTATTGTTTATAATTTCATATTTTAATTTTGCAATATTTTGATATACATTAAATCTGAACTTTCTATTTCAGTTAAGTAATTTATAGTGCTATTTAACTGTTGCAGTTAGATGGAGTATATTTTCATTATTATTCTATTATTATTAAAATTTAAATTAAGTACTTTTAAAAATATTTTCATATAAGAATTACTTGTTAGATATTCTAATTCGAAATTACAATGAACACTGTATATCCTGATAAAAAAGAAATAGAATTTCGCTCCACAAATTATTCAGGTATTTTCATATTAATATGTGTTCTATGGAATTGAATTTCCAAACTTGTTCTATTTGTTTATTTTATTGCCTTTGTTGGAAATTTCAAATGTAATCATTTAATAAATACAAAGTGATTAATATTTGTTACAGATATTTTATGTGTTTGGAGAAATGAAATGACATGTACAATATGCACTACCAGTTTAAAAAATGAAATTATTGTGAAAAAAATGATATTCGTCCATAAAACTTTTTTAACTCTTTGTTGTTATGTAAGATTTGTCTATAATTATTTTGCCTGATTGTATATTAACTGTATGATTTTTTTTTCAGAACTGTTTCTATAAATTGTGTGAAGGAAATGAATATTGTTGTATTTTATGTCAGTCAAATGATGGTCTATCATGTTGTTCTTTATGTGGTCTCAATGTTTGTTATGTAATTATAAAAAGTCAAATTTTATTAATTTTTATATTAATAATTTGTAGAATTAACAAAAAAAAAAATTATAATTTTATAATATTATAGAATGAAGTGAGATAAGTGTAAACTATTTGAATAATTGTCAATACATTTTTTTAGATAAATGCACAAGTTTTTATTTTAAACTTACTTTTAATATAACACATAACAAAATTTTTCAATCTAAAATAAAATTTACTATATATTCTAAGAGAAAAAAATAATTTACAATTATCCCATTTATTTGCATTTACCCCACTTTATTCTATTTAAGCAGGCTATACTTTTTTAAATAAAATGATTTTTAGATTAATTAATTAAATAAAATATTTCTTACAAATAAAGTTTTTAGTATTTAAAAATCATTAACATTTTATATTCTAATTAATAAGAATTATTAGTAGCATGCACATAAATTCTTAGGTACCAATATATATATAATATTATTTCAATTGTATAATAATTTATTTTTGCTTTAACCTTATTATTTTTTTAGCGTTGTGCAAAAAATCATAAACTTCCAAAAAATGATAAAAATTGTTTAATTAAATGTTTTAACTGTGCTCCACAAACTTTATGGAGTAATAGAGCTAAGACTGTTATTGCATTGAAAGTGTTTTCTTCTCAATTGTAAGTATTTATGCAATGATTTTTTTAAATTAGTTACTTATTGAGGAATTTGAAGCAACAGAAAATATTAAAACTCTCCTCCCTCTTTAAAGCATTATTTCATGTAATTTTTTGAATAGGAAGTGTTAAATTTTCAGATTTAGGTATTACAATCAAATCAATGTGACCTTATTTACATTACTTAAATCTCTTAATGATTGTTATTAGTAAAAATATGTGAATAATATGGTATATACTTTTATCTGAGTAGCAATAACGTTTTCTATAAGGTTCAGGTCAGTTAACTTATGCTACAGTTTATTGTAAAAAATATCCTTTAGTACATGATATTTTTTGTCAAAATTAATACCAAAAATATGCACGGAAAACTTGTTAGAAAATTAGAAGCATATGAAAGTTTATGAATAGTTTCTAAGTTAAATTTTGCATGGTGGAATTGATAAGAAGTTATTGGATGCAATGGGAAGAAATCATCCACAGCTTTAGAGGCTAAAAATTATTTATGGGTACGGAAGTATATAACCTTGCATATTGAAAATGATACTCCTAATTTACTATGAACATTTAAAAATATAAGAAACTTTTAAGGACCATAGTTAAATAAATAATCAAATGTATACATGGATATTTAAATTATTAAACAAATATAGTGAAACAAACAATTTTCAGGAATTATTGATCTTGAGTATTGAAGGAAAATGCCAATGTCCTGAAAATTTGGTTAAAAAATAAGATATTAACAATCTATAGTTATTACATGTATTGTAATATCAATTACTACTTGTTTATTAACACTTTGAAGACGGAGCACGTAATTTATTATGTATTTTGCAAGTTCTCCATTCTCAATGTGTTAAAAATGCTTAATAAAAAATTCAATTAATTTTTTATATGGAACATTTTAAAAAAAAGGTACACTATTCTAGAAAGCTTGAAAGATTTGATTAAATTTTTCATAATTACTTACATGTGTAGTGAATATGACTATTATATTATACTACTACCCAACGATTCACTACTAAAAGCTAATTTGTGCCTGGTAAAACAATAAGAATAGACATTTACCAACATTAATTTAAGTTACAACTATTACTATTATTTCAAGATAATATCTTAAAATAATATTTATCATTATATTATAATGATAAGTATTACTCTAATGTGCCTTATTATTATAATTTTCATACATTTATATGGTATGATAATTAGTAAAAAAAATGAATGGTATCATTAATTAACATAATTAACTAGTTTATAAAATAGAAAATAATTTAATTATTTATATTATAAATTTAATAATTTAGAAAAAATCTGGTCAATAACAGATTTTCAGTTTGTTAACAAAATCAGTATTTCAAAAGTTATTTTAATATGCATACCTAGGTGGGAGGAAGAGTATGACTGAAAAATGATTAGTCGTAAAAATAGCAGCACTCAATCTACAATCTATATTTTATGTTGTTAATAACTTCTGAATTACTGGTACAAAAATTGTTATCGAGCAGTCATTTTCTTAATTAGATTATTTTCTATTTTATAAACTAGTGAATTATGTACATTGCCATTTGAAAAAAATAACTTGTCACTCCTATTAATTATTAGGAATGGTTTTAAAAATTAATTAATAGCTGATTAATCAACAAATATATGCAACTAAAAAAAGCAAAAAAAAATTTTTTTTCAATACTAAATTTATTTTTAAAGTAATTAGTGGTTTTTGATAAACCAATCACCAATATTTAATATGTATATATATTTATTTATTTATATATTTATATTACAGACATTTATCTCGCGGACTAATAGTTAATGAAACTGAAGATGAACAACTTGTTAGAAAATACTTAATTAATGAAGCTAAAACTAGTTCTAAAAATATAAATAATATTAAAGATATTATTTGTTTAGAACATTTAAGTGATTCATTCAAATTAGTCATAAATGAAACTTTATTGGAATTGGAAAATCAATTTAATGATAGTACCGAGTCTCATGAAGAACACTTAAATAATTTTATTCACACATGTGAAAAAGTATTGGAAAATGCATTTTCCACATTGAACAATGTTAAAAAAATATATAATATAAAAACTCACTTTAATCCCATGGTACTATCTATTATCAAGTCTATATTAAAACCGGTTGAGGAAAATATTGATAATACAGTAAATAAAACTCCGAGTAGAAAAAAAAGCATAACAAATATTTCTGTAGAAAATGAACATGCAATACAAGAAAATGGTATCTATTCTATTAATAATATAGTATAAAATTTAATATTATTGACTGTAATTTAATAAGTAAATTAATAACCTCTAATAATAATTTAGACACAAATGCTTCTCTACAGGAGAATGAGAATCAGGATAAAAGTAGGGATGTTTTTGTTGTTATAGAACGACTTGATGATGTTTTATTAGAAAAAGTTTTAAAAAAAAAAAAAAATCAATCTTGTGATGATAACTCTGATGAAGATAGAGACCCATGTCATCCATTAAATATGTTTGATGAAAATCTCTCTAGTGAGGAGGATGAGAAAAGTTTCCAAATTAAGACCAGTACTAAAATTATACAAGTAAGATCATTCAAATATAATAAGTACATTCATTATTAAGTGTTAATAAGGGACCACTTTGTCTATTTTTCATAGACTTTAATAATATTTGAATATTTTTATATTATTTTTTTCAGAATAAAAAAGAAAATTTCTCAAAAAGTTCATGTGTATTAATTTGTGAAAATTCAGATGATAAAGAATATGATAAGTAAGAATAAATTTTAGTGATTATATTAAATATTGTATATAATTTAAAGTGAATCATTAACTACTTGGTTACTCAACAAATAATAATTATATTAAGAATTTCTTTTTGAATTTTTCAGCTACATATAATTCTTGATTTATTCACTATTTTTAGTTGATATCTTATGTGTAATACAGGTATCAATTTTTTTTTTATGGAAACATTTTTAAATTGATAAATCAATAAAAGTATTTTTTTTATTTTTGACATTTGAATTTTTTATAAAACTTTGTTTATTTAATAAAATAGTTTAAATTTTGATTTTTTGAGTATAGTTATATGAATACACTGTTAATTGGTAAAACAATAGTTGACAGTTACTGTCGCACATCAGTAAATAGTCTGGTAGTAAATGACAGAACTCATGACTATTAACAGTGTATACCTATAAATATACTAAATGAATAAAAAATTTTAATTATTATAATAAATGAACAAAGTTTTATAATAAACTCAAACGTTATGAATTAAAAATATATGTTTCCATTATAAAAGTTGATACCTCTATAATGCATAAAGGATATACAAAAAACATAATTAATAGTGGAAAACTCATGAAATATATGTTACTGTAAAAAAGAAAAAATTCTCAAAATGATTATTATTTGACGAGTAATCAAATAGTTTATGACTCACGGATTATTCTGTATACTTGTGTGTTCTATATCCATCCTCCATACTCTCTGTTAGTCTAGCCTTGCTAACCATATATATATATTTATCTTTTTTACATAATTTTCTTTCTGGAGAAATAATGTCATTTGTAAATAGTCTCTTTCGTTTTACTCGCTCACATTATTTTTTCTATGATTCCACAGCTATCGATTTCACCATTAATCCACTTGATAGTTGCCATTTTTAAATTCCATCCTTATTAATTTAAACAAATTTTTTAAATAACTTTTTACCTAGGCTTACACGTTTAACAAGTATTGAAAGAAGCAAAGTCGTCAAAAATATAGAAAATAACTCAAATGAATCGGATTGTTCTGTCAACTCTGTAAACTCTAACATAAGAAAATCATCCTTTGATGATAAGGATTCATTAAAGAGGCAAAACAGTCAAACTAATGATAGCCAAAAATTGATGGAAGATATAATAAATGATATTCAAGACACAGAAATTGGTATGTTTAATAAATATTATTAATTTTCTAATTATATAATTTATCTAAATTTTTAGGAGATGAATCTTTAAACAGCCAAGAAGAACATATGCTAAGTCCTATCCGTAATATTTTTTCTGAAGTAAAAAATACAATTGAAATTCCTAAAATTGACGAAGAAATGAGTGATAATGAAAGTGGTAATGGAATATACATTTATATTTCTTAAAAATTGAAGCCTCTAAATTTTTTTTGTATTGAAGCTTATAATTGGTAAAATTTAACTATCCATAATAAATAATATATATATTTATAAAAAATAAGTTGTTTCTACCTAAAAAATTTGTAAAAATATGTAAATCATAAGTCAAATGGTAAGATTCATTGATAATATGCGTTCAGTAGTTAATTCTAATCTCGATACATATCACTTTTTTAACAAGATTTACATTATACATTTGATGTAAACATCACCAATTCCCAACATTAGGTCATACTTATTAGATAATATTCTTAAAATATTATCATTGTTAATTGTTCATTTGAACAAAGTAAACCAAAATCATTCTAGTCATAAGTGTTGTGTACTTATAATGTAAAACATATTTTAAATATTAATTGTAATTTTTTATAAAATAATTTTTAGTTGGACATGTATAAAATATTGTTTAATTTTTTGTTAGAAGATAGTTGTATACTAGATGTTGTAGAATCATGTATTAATGAATTTAAAAGACATGGAGTTGAACACTACCTTAATAAAGAACGAAATAAAAATATAGAAAGTAAATTAAATGTTTCACCAGAAAACTCAGAAATTTATGATAAAGATGTAAGTAAAAAATATTTTAATGTTAATTTTTTTTTTTACTTGATAATTTTACACTTTTAAGTGGAAATATTTATAATACAGTATACTTTAAGCAATTTGGCAAATAATTAGTGAGAGCATTCCTAGATTAACAAAAACATTAGATTAATGTAATATTTCTAATATAAATTCATTTTTTAGCTTCAATGCGAAGCTGAGAAGGTATTAATTTTACTATGATGTGTTTTTTTGTGTCTGTTACCACTTTTTCTTAGCTCTCACCAAACTGATTTCTTTCAAGAAAACCTTAAAAGATCACAAATTGTATCTAGTCGAAGACATTACCCTCAAAAATTGAAACAATTTCCTTCGTTCCCCATAAATGGGGGAAATCTCCAAAAAAAAATACAAATATAAAAATCGCTAATTTTCGACATTTTATTCACTTAAAACTTTTTGAAAAATGTATGAATCAATACAATTTTTTTTTTTATTGATAAATGAGGTAATTACTAGTGATGGGAAATATCGAATAGTAACTATCAAACTATTAGATAGTCAATCAAAAACTATTCAAATAGTAAAAATATTCGATAGTTACACAATATATTTGAATAGTTTAGAAAATATTTCATAGTCTATTCGAATAGTTTTTAAAATATTTTATAGTTTATGCTAAAAATAAAATATTTGGTGGTATAAACACAATTCGAATAGTTAATCGATAGTTTAAAATATTTGAAAATGCCCATCACTCATTTTTTTTATTATTAATTGTGTCCTATTTATAATCATAATACCCTGAATAAACAGTTTGACTTCAACTTTCAAACTTAAATGTTTATACAATTCTCATATAAATTACATTTAAAGTTAATACAAGTTTATTACTCCCTCTTGTGAAGTCCATGGTTTAATATAATAATTTTAAAGTTATTAAAAAAAATTAATAATTGTCAAATTAAAGTCATTCAAACTCGTCATTAACAGTGCCAAGTATATAACTTTATTTTGTTAACCGATTACTCAACAGAACCATTATGAAAAATTTGTTATTAGTTTTGAAATTTATACACAATATTTAACTACGTATGAAGATCATTTGGTGAATGATTGGTGATGGTTATATAATTTTTTAAATTATTTTAATTTAATTTAGAGTGTATGTTTTAAAGCTATAGTGTAAAATTTGTTTAAACATAAACAATTTAAAAAAAAATGTACACTTATATATTTGTTATTTATTAAAATAACTAAAAATATTGCAACTTTTCATACTTATAATTACTAGTATATTATTTTTATATTATTAAATTATGTGTTTCAAATAGAATATTTTTTAATGAGTATAAAAAAAATTTGAAAAGTTGATGTATGAAAAATAAAATTTTTTTACTCATATACACTACTTTCTTTAATTTGAATAACAATATCTCCTTTAATATTAAGAACACCATCTTGAAACTTTGGTCAATTATTTGTTATATGTATTCAAAAATATATTATTTTTTTCAGAATTTTAAATTATAGTAGTTGTTTGTTATAAAACTTTAAAAAGCCTTATTTCTTTTTTTAAGAAAATAACTACAATAAAAAAAAAAACGGTAAAAAATAGAAATTTATCTTTATATTTATACAGTAAAATATTTATTATTTTAAATATATTTAAAATTATAATCTAAGCTAAGTGTGTTTTTATTTTATTGATGATTTTACTTATAAATAATACATATTATACAATTATTAATTATTATTTCTACAATTATATCTCCAATTTTTTTTTTTTTTTTGATAAACAAATGCATTTTTTATGGTTATGACATTTATACAATCTGTAAATTATTTGGTACATTTAAATTAATATTCAAAATATATTATTATATTTGTTCATAAAAGTATTTAAAAAGTAAGAACTTTTACTATTTTATCAGGAATCAAGTTCATCATCCACCAATGAAGAACTTAATAAAATACGTAAATTCAAACCTTGTTCCCCCATTAATATTTCATTAACAACTGAAAGTGATAGCAACACAGATACTGAAAAAATTAATAATGGAAGAAAAAGGTATGAATTATTTATTTATTCAATTTTAGCTTTGATGAGAAGGTATTAATTTTACTATGATGTATTTTTTTTAATGTCTGTCATCACTTTGTCTCAGCTTTCACCCGACCAATTTCTTTTAATGATACTTCAAAAGATCACAAATTGTATCTAGTTAAAGACATTTCCCTTAAAAATAGAAAAATTTTCCTTCGTTCCTTATAAATGAGGAAAATCTCCAAAAAAAAAATTACAAATTTTTAAAATCTGTTAACTTTAACATTTTTACATTTTTTTTTCTTAAAACTGCCATAACTTTTTCATAAATGAAAGAATAAGAATAATTTTTTGTAATTTTTAGAATATTTTCATAAAAAATAATAGTTAGGCATAAATACCCATTATTTCCTGAAGTGAAATTAGTGTTTTTGAATTTTATTTACAAAAACAAATGTATGAATTATATTTTTGAAAAATTTTAGTCTAGACAATTATAAGTATAATAAAATACAAGTTATTTTATTACTATGTCTCACGCAATACCTTTAAAATTGTTAAACAAAGTTTAATTTTTCTTTTAAGACATTGTAGTGTCTTAATGTTTTGCATGGGTTTTAATTACAAGATTCAACTGGGCCCAACCATTCTAAAACACAGCCAGGCCCATTAGTTGGCAAGTATTGGCAAACTCTAAACCTAACCTCACTTATATAAAACTCTTTTTTTCTAACACATTTTTTCAACATGAATAAATCAGTACAGTTGGGACTGTATCAGGTTAGCTTATTGGGAAACTAAACAGAACATAAACTGGTAATTTTAATAATTAGTTTTATGCTGCATAAATATTAATATTTTCATTTAAAACAAACTAAAGTAAATACAATATATTAAGTTAATAAAAGGAAGCTAATACTATTTATTATAATTATAATATGATAAATATTGTTAATTTTTGAAAAGAAATAAGTACATTTTGTTTAATAATTTTATAGATATTGTGTAAGACATTGTTAAACAATCACTATATGTATATATATACTTATTATTGATTTTTAAAGTCATTTTATTTTTTCAATAAATAAAAAAAAGTCAACAGACAATTATATTTATATTTTACAATTTGCTCATCTAATTAAATTAAAAATTAAAAGTGCTAAAATACATAGTAATTTAACTTTTAAAATTTTTATTTATTTACTAATTTATAAAGCTAATTAAATTGTAAAATAGTTAGTTTAAATTATTTTCAATGAAGAATTTTATTTAGTACTTTAACAAAGTATGTAAAATATTTATTTTCAATTTTTTTATTTTTAGAAATAATGGTTACTCTAATGATTCAGATTCATCATCAAAATATTTTAAACCATCGCCTAAAAAACGTCGCAGGATAAAAAAGAATTCATTTAGTCACAGTTCCAGTGAATTTAATTCTGATAAAAGTAGTAGAAGTAATTCACCTATTATTTTACGTATAAAACCTAAAAATAAGTAAGTTATTTCAAGGATTATGTTTATTTATTTTAATTTAAATAATTAATAAAATTATTTTATTAAAGTTTGATAAAAGATAATGATTCAGATACTAGTGAAGATTCTACTTCTGATAGTAATACAACTTTATTTCTTTCTGTAAGTATTTAAATAAGTTCTTTAAGTTGCTTTTCGTAATAATTTTATGAATAATCATAAGCTGATTTTAAAATGATACAGGAACTAACTATGATAAAATTAAATTAGTAAAAAAGTTTTAAAATATTTTATATTTCAATTTATCTAAAAATGTTTAAAATGATTAAAATAATTTTGCCATAATAATATTGAATGTTATTTTTAAAATTTGTGTTATAATATTATCACATAAGTTTTATAAAACTGTTCAATTGTATTATTTTGTATGATGTTAAGCATGATTTTTTTAATTTTATTGAAATTAGGCTAATGCTTTAATTTAAGTAATTATAAAAGTACTTAATTATTTTTGCGAATTAATGATAAAAAGTTATTTATATATATATATTTTTAAATAAGGTTTCTTATATTAAAATAATTAAAAATACAACTTAATTTATATAATATATTATATATATTTTTTTTTCAATTCTGAAAGCAAAAAAAAAAGCGAAAAGAAATACGTTCAATAATTAAATCAAATGATCTAAGTGAGTCAACTAAAAATGCCTTAATAGAAGAAGATTTGAGAAAAAAGAGAATTGAAGAACGGCAAAAACTTGTATGTGTTTTTTGTGTATTTATTAAATTTTTCTATACTCTTGTTTTAAAGAAACACAATATATAAAATAATATTATTTGTTTTTATGTTTTTAGTACAATGAAACATTTGAAATGCCTTTGCTAACAGGAACTTGTGATAATCTGATTTTAGATTTTGATCCAGTTAATAAAAAAGAACTTGTTACTGTACATCCAAACTTTGTAAAATGTTTAAAACCTCACCAAGTAAATAATTAAAATTACACAATATAATTTAAATATGATTGAGCTAAGAAAATTAAAATTAAATACAGAAAGATTCTTTTACACTATTTTGATAGTTAATTGATATATCTTTTTTACAACTTACTCTATCATAACTTTTAATTGTTATATTAGTTAAAAATTTATCAAGTATTAATTTTTAATTTCAAAATCAAGTTTATAAAATGCATGATACAAAAATGTGTTATAGATTAAAGGTGTTAAATTTTTATGGCAATCTGTATTTGAAACATTGGACCATGCCAAAAATCACCCAGGATCAGGATGTATAATTGCTCATTGTATGGGCTTGGGTAAAACATTGCAAGTAAGACTTTTTATAATTCTCATAGTTATATTTTATTTTGATAGGTTGATATTTAAATAGCACAAATTAATATCATAAAAGAAGTTAAATAGATAAAAAAAACCCAGCACAGGGGGGTCGCGGCACATTGATGACGTTTCATAGTTGAATAGAGTATAATGATATCTGACAGTGATTAAAATCACTATCATAAAAACGTTCGATACAAATCTTTAGATAGTGTTTAATTTTAAAAAATTATTGGATTATTCCAAAAGCTACATGATCTGCTATTTCCTTATTTATACCCTGATTAAGATTAAGTATGTCAAATGATAGATGTATAAAAATACGACTTCTCATGAAAAAATTGTATTGATCCATACATTTTTCAATAAGTTAAAAATTTAAAATACAAAATTGAGAATTTTCACACAAAAATAGCATTTGGTAGCCATTTTCATTATGAAGACAAAATAAAGTCGGAATTTTTTTTTCATGATAAAATATATTACATTATCTTTAATTTAAAATATATGTAAAAGTTTCAGACTTTCTGGAATACTTTCAAAAGTTAAGTTGAAAAAGTTGTCATTTTGAATCCCCATGTGGGCAGGTAAAGAGTCAGATTTATAAAAAAAAATATACCAAATGAAAGGTTAAGACATCATGCATCTATAAAAATTTTTTTTATTGATTTGGTTATTTTTAAAAAAGTTATGGCAGTTTTAAGTGAATAAAATGTCGAAAATTAGCGATTTTTATATTTGTATTTTTTGTTGGAGATTTCCGTTATTTACGGGGAACGAGGGAAATTTTTTCAAATTTTTGAATGTAATGTCTTCGATTAGATACAATGTGTGATCTTTTGAAGTATCATTGAAAGAAATTGGTTCGGTGAGAGCTGATAAAAAGTGGTAACAGACACAAAAAAAAAACACTTCATAGTAATACCAATACCTTCTGTGCTTCGCATCGAAGCTAAAAATTATATCTAGTATAATTTATTGTAAAATAATATAAATATAAAAATAAACAATTTTTTTCTTGAACAAGATAATTATTTGTGAAAAATGTAAAACATATAAATTGTTAATATTTAAATAATTTGTGTATGATAATCAAAATACTAAATTTTCAAAAATATACTTTAGATAATAACGTTAATACATACATTATTTTCACATTCGGAAATTGGCATTAAGACAGTATTGATTATTGCTCCACATTGTACACTTGAAAATTGGATTAGAGAATTTGATAAATGGCTACAAGATATTCCTGGGAGAAGTATACCAATTATTAATTTAGCCGAGTAAGAAAAAACTATTATAATCATTAAAAAAAAATGTAACTTTGATTAATATTAACATTATTATAACTTTATTTTTTTTTTTAGTTCCAAAACTTACATCAGTAGAGCTAATGCAATACAAGAGTGGACTAACGGTTATGGAGTTCTAATTGCAAGTTATAACATGTTTAGATCTATTGTTAATTTTAAAGATGTCGAAAAAAAATATCCATCTATTATAAGTGGACTTCTAGATCCAGGTCCTGATTTAATAATCTGTGACGAAGGTCATTTATTAAAAAACCATGAATCTTTACTTTCAAAATCATTTAAAAAATTGAAAACTCGTCGAAGAATTGTTTTAACGGGAACTCCAATGCAAAATAACCTAAAAGAGTGTAGTTATTTTCTACTTCATATTAAATAACTTAAATTCTGATAACAATACTTATAAATATATTATATGATTATAGATTATTGTATGGTTGAATTTGTATTCCCTAATATATTAGGAACAATGAAAGAATTTACTAATCGTTTTATAAATCCTATAACCAATGGACAATATTCAGATTCTACACTTCATGATGTAAAATTAATGAAACGAAGATCACATGTGTTACATAAAATTTTAAAAGGAATTATACAAGTAAAGTTATTTTTTAAACATTTTTTAAATTTATTATGTGAAATATTTTATAATTTTTAGAGATTTGACTATAGTGTTCTTACACCTTTTTTGCCTCCTAAACATGAATATGTTATTTATTTAAAACTATCAGAACTACAAATCAAATTATACAAACACTTTTTGGATAATCATAGACAACCTGATTTATTTACAAATTTTTTTATTCTTAAGTTGATATGGACTCATCCAAAACTACTATCAATCCATGTCATGAATGTAAAGAAAAAAATTGAAGTAAGAATACTATCTATTTAATCTATTTTTAACTTTTAGATGTGAGGAAAAATATTGAAGTGAAACCCTAATTGAATAAGGTACATAGTTTAAATTGTGACATTTTTACGAAAGGCATCCTTAAAATGTGAAAGCTTTGCTAAAATAATTTTTCTCTACCTATTGATCTTATGGGGAGTAGTAGAGGTTTAAACTCCTTACTACTCAATGTTCTTAAAGCTATCTGAACCCCCAAACAAAATTTCTGAGTGTCATTGGTTTCAGACCCATAAAATACTAAATTAATACTACTTCAGTTATTGAGTTAAAAGTTAACTGACAAATTTTTTACATGTGTATATGTTTTAAAAGTTGATTAATTTAAATTATTTTTTAGAAACAAAAATATAAAGAACTGGAAGCTCAATTTTTGAATGATGAATCAGATAAAAGTGATTTAGAAGAAGGAATAGAGGAAAATGCAGGTTAGTGCTAGGATTTAGTTTATAAAATTTAATTTACTTAATAAAACTCAATTTATCAACTTATTTTTATTAAATTATTTTTTATATAACAATGTTTGATTAAGAAAGAAAAACAAAGTTACATTAAAGATAATTGAAGCATATTTAATATTACAGAAATATTTTTAAATCATTTTGACGATGTATAGTTTTTTGAAATGCATTTTTATCAATTGCAATATTTTTCTGAATAATTTTATTGCAAAATAATAATTATGTTATTTAAACAGTAAATCTTTAATGTATTTATAAATAGGATCTACATTAAAATAAAAATATTTCCATATAATTAACATTTGTAAAATATTTACCAATATTTGATCACAGTTCTTTAAACCAATTCATTTTTTTTTTTTTATTAATTTAAATTATGATAAAATTAAAAATCAAGCTAATTAATTTATGAAGTTCCATTGATCTATGCTGTCTATTGATATATTTTATGATCAGTCCTATTCAAACTTCTGAAATTTATTATTAATTGAATATGTTATAATGAAATCTAAATAAATAATTTATATAAATGAATGTATATTTTACATGATTCAAAAACTTTATTCTGTTATATTGGTAAAACTATCATAAAGTGACTATAATATTATGATATAATTTTTCTCTGACTGACATTGTTTCACCAATACAGACATAATTTTTTTTTTTAATAATGTAAGATATAAATTCATTTTTACAAATTACTTACTTAGACATTTTTTCCCAATCTCTATTGATATATTCTACTAAACTATATTGTAATAAAATGCTAATTATAACTAATTAATTCTTGTGTATCATTTAAGTTTGAATTCTATATAAATCTTGAGTAAATTTTATTTATGATTTATTTGCAGTCTCATAGATTATAAATTATTAAGAAGTGGGGAGGAGGTATGAAATACTAGCTGATTTTCAGATTGAAAATTGATTGAAAGCCCTTAAATTATGATACTGGTTGAGAATGTATTTTTTAATAATTATAAAGCATTTGAGTATATTAATATTATAGTTATATTAATTTTACTTCTTTTCTCTTTTACAAAATATGGTTTATTGATATTGTATTTACAAATATTTAATTGTTATTTTATAACTGATTTGTACAAATTTCTAAGGATTTTGTTTGTATTGATTTTTTTTTTCATTATTTTATAGGTGAGAAACTTCTTTCAGTTTTAGAATTGAATAAAACAAGAGGCACAGATTTAGATCCTAACTGGTGGAAACCTTTAATACCAAAAAGAAGTATGCTTAATTCTGTACATCCATTTTCAAAATTTATTATGATGTTTGCAATACTGAAAGAGTGTGAAGAAATAGGAGATAAAGTGTAAGAATTAATTTTTAAAATTACTTACAAAATTAAACAACATAAAAAAACAAATAGTAAACTCATTATCTATTTTGTTTAATTTTAAATCTCGTAAAATTAAATAACACAAAATGTTACTACAGAACAAAAAAAAAAAATTATTTTCATTTTTTTATGTTAGTACTATTTTAAATATCAATTTTATTTTTTTCATAATAAAACTAAGGCAGAAAACAAAAATAATACAAAAGGAGAATGGAGGATTAGATGATGGAATTGAAAGAGGAAAAAATTTAAAGAATGGTGTGGAATGTTTAGAGGGACATACATGATTTGTAGAATCAACCCAACCCAACCCAACCAAATAGAAATAATAAAGTGTTTAATACCAGCTGGACAAATTGTACAGTATCTGTTTCACCAGTCATGTGTAGAGGTCTACTCAATGCTTGTAGTGCCAACAGTGTAGGGACATCATCACTCAACTCCAGGCTAAATTCATGTATAAGGAAGAAAGATAACTAAGTGAAAGAGAGGGAAATTGGTGAGGGTTATAAAATAATATACTCAGGTAAGTCAAATACAAAGAATGGTTTAGGGATAAAATGAATGAGGAGATGAAAAGTAAAATAGTAGAAGTAGCTAGTGACAGAATTATAGTCGTAAAATTAATTTTCGAGGAAAATGTGTTAAATAAATAAATGGAATAAATAAATAAATAATGTTGATAAGAAGGTATTATTGAGTAATGATGATGTGAAAAAAAGGTAGAAATTTTGAAAAATAGAATGAGAAGTATCCAAGAAAGACATCATTAGAGGATATCTCATGGAACAAGGAACTGGTAGATTTAATTAGTGAGAAAGAGATATGGAAAGCTGTGATATCAATGAAAAAGAATAAAGCAGTAGGACCAGATGAAATGCTAGCAGAAATATGGAAGATATTAAGCGGTGTTTGCATAAGATGGTTAAAGGATCTCTTTAATATAATCCCTTTAGAAGGAATTCCAAAAGAATAGAAGAATTGTATTGTGGTGCCGATATTTAAAAGCAAAGGAGATATACAGAAGTGTAGAAATTATAGAGGAATAAAGCTTATGAGTCATGGTGCATGTTGTTTGCTGATATTATTCAGTTTCCAATAGAATTCCAATAAGACTAAAAGGTAAGTTCTATAAGACTATAGTGAGACCAGTTATGATGTATAGTTCAGAGTGTTGAGTGGTTAACTAGAGAATGTAGTAGAGAATAGGTGTAGCAGAGATGAGAATACTTACAGTCCACGACAAAAAGATAAAGGCACAACATTTAATCAAATAAAATTCTATATTTATACATATATGGATTCTATGTACTACCAAACTTCAGGTTATACCCAAATGATAGCAATCTTATATTATTTCTTGATCATAAATTAATAAATGAAGTCTTATCGATGAATTTATTAGATTTTGTTACGACAAAATTATAAAGGCAAATATTTATATATAAACAAACTATTTTATATTACAAAATTTATTACATTTATTAATTTTTTTATTGTATTAATATTTAGTTGAACCTCTATTAGCACGAATATTTACAAAAATTCTATTGGGAATGGTGTCATAAAGTTTTTTTATGATGTTTTGGGAAATTAGTGCCCAAGCATCTAAAATTGATTTTTTTAACTCACGAACTGATGAATATTGTTTGGCATCTTTATTAACTTCATTGGCGAGTGGCCCCCAAACATTTTCAATAATATTTAGATCTGGAGATCGTGCAGGCCAATCTAATATTGGTATAGAATTTGTTTCAAAACATAATTTTATGATTCGAGCAGTATGAATTGGCGCATTATCCTGCTGAAATATAAAATTTCTTCCACCTATTTTCTGAAAACATGACTTTTGGGTGTTAAGGAGATCTTTATACTTCAAAGCATTTATTCTACCATCTAAAAAAACAACTTCACTTCGTCCTTTATAACCAATTGCACACCAAATCATTGCAGATCCTCCTCCCATTTGACGTTTTTAAATTATACGTTCATCTTTTCTTAAATCATGATAGTAATATGAAAATCCATCAGGTCCATCCAAGTTAAATTTTTTTTCATCTGAAAAAACTACTTTTCTCCATCTTTTTGACCAATTCATTTTGTTTCTTGAAAAGTCTAATCTTACTTGTTTATTACGTTCATTTAATGGTGGTTTTCGTAATAGTTTTTTTCGGATGAGTGTCGGTGTGCTTTTTAATAGCCTTTGTACGTTACGAATACTAGTTTTCACACTACATTGATTGAGAATACCACGTGCAGACAAAGCAGAATTCGATGCAACTCTTAAAATTGCTCTTTTTTCACGATCAGTTAATACTTGCGGTCGACCTGTAGACTTCTTGGAATTATAGTTTTGGCCAAGTTTTACAAAATTATCTATCACTGTAGAACTCCTTTTCAATCTATGCGATATTTCCCGATTTGAAAGACCGCATTCCTTATATGCCGTAATTTCCCCTCATTCTTCCATAGATAATGGTTTTGCTTTTCCCATAATAAATTACATAAATAATAAAAATACTACACAAATTATGTTAATACAGTATATAAATTTAGGTTATATTACGTATATTACAAGTATTATATAAAGATAATTTAATCATACAATTACTATATACGCAACGAAACTGACTGCCTTTATAATTTTGTCGCAACAAAATCTAATAAATTCATCGATAAGACTTCATTTATTAATTTATGATCAAGAAATAATATAAGATTGCTATCATTTGGGTATAACCTGAAGTTTGGTAGTACATAGAATCCATATATGTATAAATATAGAATTTTATTTGATTAAATGTTGTGCCTTTATCTTTTTGTCGTGGACTGTATATATATATAAGTAGTATGATTAGAGAAAATAAAATATAGAACGAAAATATAAAAGGGAGTAAAGGTGTAATGTCAATCGTGGAGATGAGAGAAGATAGACTTAAATGGTTTGGTCATATTATGAGAAGAAAGGAACCAGAAACTGTAAGAACTGTTATTGAAACAAACGTCAAAGGAAGAAGAGTTAGAGGAAGACCAAAAAAGAGATAGAGGGATGTTATTGAATTTGATATGAGGATGGCTGATGTGTATGTAATGATGTGAGAGATTAATTTAAGTGGAAGTTTAGAATAAGGGTAGCCAAACCCCAAGTAGTTGGGATTAAGGTGAGAAAAAAAAAAGAAAAAGAATATAACTAAGATATTAGGCTATTGGTTCACAGTTAATATATTTTGTTATTTACAATATTGACAAAAGTTTTGTTATAATATGTTTTGGTTTCATTAAATAAGGTTGTCTTTAGGAAGTTTAGTAGGTTTCTTGATTCAGGGTCTAGTCTGAAATTTACTTGTAGATGATAGGATATTTGATTTTGTATATGATTAGTTTTGGAAATATTTTCCTCACATACTTTAGTGAAGACTATGTTAACAATATACTTGCATTATTTTTACACTTAAATTGAATAAAAAAAAAACAAAATTTTAATAATAATAAATTATTATAGAACAAAATTTATGTATTTAATTGCACAATAATTCTATTATATATCCTAGACTCTTGTTGATAAATGACCTTCAAACAATTGTCTGATCTGCGCCTACCTATATTATTCTTACATTGGTTCAATGAAGCAATATTTATTGCTTAATAATATTTATATTCAATTTGTTCATAGTATTAAACAAAGCATGTTGAAATTTTTTTATTCAATTTTAACATGATATTTGTGTACAAATATAGATTGTTATTCAGTGAGTCTTTGTATACTCTTGATTTAATTCAAGAATTTTTGGAAAATACTGAAGATATTCATGATCAAGCTGGTCCTTATGGAAACTCGTGGATTCAAGGGGAAGATTTTTTTAGAGTTGACGGAAATGTCTCAGTCAAAATTAGAGAAGAATGTTGCCAAAAATTTAATGATATTTCCAATACTAGGTACAATATTAAAACATTCTGTTTAAAGATATGACTTAGTGAAAAACAACTCCTATAGAATTAGATTTAATTTTAAAAGGGAACTAAATAATTTTATTATATTATTAATATTTATTTATAAAAAATTTGAATATTTTAAATTTATGTAGTTATGTCAAAAATTTTGATTTTCAAAATAAACTAAAATAGATCAAACTAAACTATCTAATTTTTAGAAAACCAAATGGGTTATTGCAAACATATTTTTGATAATACTGCAAACATTTTCCTAGCCTTACTTTTTTTTGAAAATCCAACTATTAATCAATGTACTGTGGGAGCTTATAAATCATATAAACATTTTTTTTTTTTAATGTTTTATGTTTCAAAAAAACCTGCATTTTATGAAGCTAATAAAATGTAATTTAAGATAATAACAATAAAACTTCCTGAAATATCGATTTTTAGGAGTATTCAGGCTTTTTAAGCTAAGAATTATACAATTTTTGATAAATATTGTTGATTTTGTAGTTTTTGCATAGTAATGAAATACTTGAATCATTTTAAATTATTTCAAATAAAAGCTTGTTTAATGTAATATATGATTAAAAAAAAGAAATGTTTTTGAGTATTTAGCCTCTTATATAAAAAGTCATGTAATTATAAAAATATTGATTCCTTTTTTTTTAATTTTTTAAGCATAATATGTATTGAAGCATTTAAAGGCAGTAATTTTAATCACTGTTAGATATTAATAAATACTAATCTATAAAAGAATTCCTAGAAGCCAGCCACTATATTGGATCCAACTGTACTAAACTTATAATTTTTAAACAATCATTATTTAGAATAATAAAAAATGTATTTATATTTTTCAATCAACAAAAAACTGATGATAAAGAAATTCGGTTAAATCTAATATTTCGTTATTTTATTCACAAAATTAAACTTTTTTATGTAAAATAGTTTTTTTATCATTTGTGATGTAATGGTGTATGTGCATTTCACTCTATATATTTAAATGCTTGTAAAATAATAATTACTTATCCTAAAGTTGTTATCAACCCATCAAAATTTTTGGCAAATAAAAGAGCTAAAAATTATTTTGGCAATTTCTGTAAAAAAATTGTTTATTATTTAAGCCAAATAATTAAAAAAAAATTGTTAATTTTTTTTTCTAAATATTTTTTATTATAAGGTTAAAAAATAAGTTTGGCAAAATTTTAGATGATTCGGTTAAGTTTAACAGATTACTCAATGTCAGTAATGTCTTCAACATGATATAACTCAGGTTTTTTTGTTATTACTGAAGAAAAGTGAGAACATACAATAAAAAACATACTATAGCAAAATGAATACTTTTTTATCTTTGTATAGAAGCTAAAATACTAAATTTATTTTATAATATGATAATAAACTATATAATAATAATTTGATAATAAACTTAGAAGTTCACCAGAATATAATCAAATTTATAACTCCCTATTCTCATATTATTGACCCTATAATTATGTAGAATACAAAAAAAAAAGTTTGGTATCTTCTGTTGGCTTATGGAAATAAAAAATAATCATTAAAATATATAATCAAAAAAAAAAAATTTGATTTTAATAATTTTAGTTATTTTTTTTTTTAAATCAAAACTTATGTTATGTGATAAAATAGAGCTATTTAATTTCTGTGATGAAGTTTAAACTACAAAATTTTGTTTACTTTTAGATTACGTCTTTTACTGTTATCTACAAGAGCATTTAATTTGGGAATAAACTTAGTTGCTGCTAACAGAGTCATAATATTTGATGTTACTTGGAATCCATCATTAAATGTGCAAAGTATATTTCGTGTATTCAGATTCGGACAAACCAAGCCATGTTATGTGTATAGATTAGTTTCAGAGGTGCTAAAATATATAATAATATTTATGAAATATATAGATTTATACACAAGGATAGCAAAGGGCACTTACTATCCTTTGACAGGTCTAGCATATTGATTTGGGTCAGTTACAATTCTTACTTAATAATGTAAATGCTATTTTACTTCATCTAAAGGAGAGCTAGCATATTTTATTATATAAAATATTCAATCTGATGCAATGGTTTAGGAAGGTTTAGTTATAAAACTAAACCTATTTAGGAAGGATTATTAACTAAAACAAAATGTTTGTATTTTAGTAATCAGTTATGATAAGGTATAATTAAATATTAAAATACTATCTTATTTTAAAAATCAATTGTTTTATTATCATTATTAATGATAATTAATTTTTAGTAAATATACCGATTAAGACTACAAATAATTTTAAATTAGATATTTGGACCTTTTTAGTAAAGTTCTTTAATATAACAGATTTAAACTTCAATAATGTCGATAAAACAATGATACATACATTTTTATTAAGCATAAAAATTTACTAACTTAAAAAAATCTGGCTAAAATTTAAAAAAGTGTACTAATGGAAGATATTAGTTTTTTCTCGTAGATTACATACATTAATTAGCTAGGTATACTTTATTACTGTATTATATTTTAAAGAGGTGTTGTCATGTTTTTAGGGAACTATGGAAGAAAAAATGTATAATCGTCAAATTTCAAAATTATCTATGGCTTTCAGAGTTGTTGATGAACATCAAATTGATAGACATTTCAATGCAAAAGATCAAGATGAACTATATGAATTTGATCCATGTACTAGTAAACCTAAAACACAAATTTTTCCCAAAGTATTATGAACATTTTTTGAAATTATTCTAATGCTGTTTTTAAATAAATTAATTTTTATTATAGGATCGCTTAATGCAAAATTTAATTTATGGTTATAAAGATATTATAATAAATGTTTTGGAACATGATTCATTATTGCAAAATAATGAAGCAGAAGAACTAGATCAGAATGATCAAGAAGCTGCATGGGCCGAATATGAAAATGAAAGACAAGGGATCAACCTACAATTTCAAAATTCTTTTGGATTTCAAAACTCTGTTTTTGATATACAAGGGCAAAACCAACATTACCAAAACCGTGGGTATTTTTATTTTTAATTAATGGGCACAAAAAATTTTTTTAATGCATGTAATGAAAATTGTCGTTTAGCTTATGATTTGGTTAGGACTTAATTACTGTTGGGGGACTGTAAACTTAAAGTAATTATTTGTCATAGATCAAGGATATTTTCAATATAATCATAAGACCATGGCTAAGGATCCTTTTACTTAAAGTATAAAAAAAAAAAATCATTTAATGTTAAAAGCAAATATATTAATAACTTAGTCAAACATATTATATTGAAATGCCAAAAATATGATACTGAAAAGAACAACTTCAAACTGAATATCATTCTACAAGACAATTTAGGAAATCAAACTTGATGAAAACCTTAAAATTTATCAATTCAATATAAATTAAGTACAAAATTGAATTTGATCATTGTAAATATTATTTAGCCAATGATCTAATCAGTTAAGGTTGCTACAATAAAAAACAAACAAATATATATATATATATATATATAAATGTATAATATACATATTTTTTAATTTCTCCTGTTGACTTATTTTTAAAAAAAGTCTGTTACTTTTCTGTGATTAAGATAAAAACTTAAAAGACATAAAACTCAATAATATTTGAATGTTCAATTAATTAATGGACTGTTTAATTAAACATTAATTCAGGAACACAAGTTAGAGCAACACATATACAGACTTCTAGAGAAGATGAACAGTTATTTAATTCATTAAAGTCTTTAGTAAGTATCTAACTTTAAAAAAAACAATACAGTTAAGATCTCACATTATAGAAACATTAATTTCACCGACGTTTAAACATTTTAATATTAATCTGTAGTTAATGATTTTTTTACTTCAGCACGTAATTACACAACATATATAATTTTAAATCTGGACACATTTGATAAAATTCTACAAATTCTGTAACTAATAATTTAAAATTTTGAAAATATCCTTAAATTCAAACTCTAGTTTTGAAATATATATTTTTTAATATATCAATGTAATTTAATATTAATTATATTTCTATTATAATATTTATTTTGTTGCATGTTCTGTTTAGTTTCCACAAGCTAGCCTAATACAATTGAATGAAATGTTAAATCAAGTTAAATCAGCAAAAAATAATTTTCAATAATTTGTTAATTCATTGTGTTTTGTATTATTATTCTATTTTATAAAAGTTTGTTTTTTTCTTCATCTAATAAAATAATTTTAAATCAATATATTATTATATTTTTTAGGATCAAAGATTTGTATATGGATATGTGCAAAATGATTGACTCATTGTTATCCACTAAATTTCTCTTAAAATAATAATTTTTAGTATTATTGATTTTAGCTTCGATGCGAAGCTGATGAGGTATTGGTTTTACTATGGTGTGTTTTTTTTTTTTTTTTTTTTTTTTTTTTTTTTTTGTGATACCACTTTTTTTCAGCTCTCACCAAACCGATTTCTTTTAACGATACGTCAAAAGATCACACGCTGTATCTAGTCGAAGACATTACCCTCAAAAATTGAAAAAATTTCCCTCGTTCTCAGTAAATGGGGGAAACCTCCAAAAAAATTACAAATTTAAAAATCGCTAATTTTTTTTATATATGCTTGATGTCTTTACCTATCATTTGGTATATTTATTTTATAAATCTAATCCTTTACCTGCCTACAGAGGAGATTTAAAATGACAACTTTTTGACAGAAAATTAACTTTTGGAAGTGTTACTAAAGGTCTGACACTTTTATATATATATTATATTAAAGATAATGTAATATACTTTATCAAATGAAAAAAATTGCGACTTTATTTTGTCTTCACAATGAAAATGGCTACCAAATGCTATTTTTGTGTGAAAATTCTCGATTTTGTATTTTACATTTTAACTTTTCGAAAAATGTATGGATCAATATAATTTTTTCATGAAAATTTTTTATATACATCTATCATTCGACATACTTTTTTTTGAAATCGGACCATTTCCCTATATACGAGGGGAGTTCAAATCTAAAAAATGCATATAGAAAGTAGAACTTTTTCAACTTAACTTTTGAAAGTGTTCCGGATAGTCTGACACTTTTATATATATCTTAAATTAAATCTAATGTAATGTACTTTATAATGGAAAAAAAAAATTGACCTCTGGACTTGTCTTCATGGTGAAAATGGCTACCAAATGCTATTTTTGTATGAAAATTTTCGATTTTATTTTTTACATTTTTATCTTTATAATGCTATAACTTATTGAAAGTTGTATATTTATAAAGTAAAGTTGTATAGTTATTAAGTGTATGGATCAACACAATTTTTTCATGAGAAGTCGTATTTTTATACATCTATCATTTGACATACTTAATCTTAATCAGGATATTAATAGGGAACTAGCAGATCACGTAGCTTTTGGAATAATCCACCAATTTTAATTAAAATTAATGTATCGAAGCGTTTTTTATGATGGTGATTTTAATCACTGTCAGGTATCATTATACTTGATCCAACTATGCTACGTCACCACCGTGCCGCGACCCCCCTGCGCTGTTTTTTTTTTATTTATAAGTGATTAAATATTTTTAGGACCATCACTTATGTTTTAGGAGAGTTAACTTTACCACTTTTATTTTTAACATACGTATTTGATAAGCCCATAAAATAGGAAATTATTACACTAAGAAAATGACTGGTTAATAACAATTTTTGAAGTTATAATCACTTCTATATTTAGTGCCAAGAAAAATGTCTAGTAATAAAAATAACAATACCCTTGCTTCGCCTCCAGGCATTATATTAAACTGTCGATTACTTTCAATGTTCCAAATTGTAGGTTATGTTTTGTTATCATTACACATTTTTCTGTCTTAACGCCATCTATTCAAAAATATTCATAGCTCATGAAACTACTGGTTCAAAATAGTGTTAATAATCAATAATTTTCTTAATTAGACCATTTTCTAACGTTTAAGATAATTTTATGAATACTTAACAAAAGAAAAAATTTAAACTCTTATAAGGGATAAAGGTTGGTCCTGAAAAATATTTGCTCATTTATAAATTAAGATATAAATACTACTCAACAAAGCTAAAAAAATTTTTCAACTTTATTTTAATCTTAGGAAAAATCTAGTATCCAATATTGAATCAATCACTCTGCATAAAATTTTTTACTTTTCTTTTTATTAATATGAAAATGTATATTTGTAGTATCGCCTATAAAATAAAAAAGGTACAACTATTAGATTTTTAATTCTAGTTGATCGAAGAATTTAAGTCGTAAGACGATATGAAATTTTTTAATAAATAAATAGTTTGTTTTTCCAAATTATTATAACAAAACTTGTAGGTATCAGCATAATAACTAGTTTAATATAAATCTATACTGAAGTCTTCTATGTTGAGTACTGACTGTACTGGATTATTCATATTAAAAATGTGTTAGAAAAAAAAGCTTTATATAACAGGTTAGGTTTAGAGTTAGTCAAAACTGTTATAATACAAAATTACCAATCTACGAAAATGTCTGGTTGTAAACAATATTTGATGTTATTATCACTTCTATACCTAGTCATAAGTGAGCCCAAGGAGTGTTTAAGGATAAAAATACCCGATCATCTTTGTCATCTGTCTTAAGTTAATATATTAATGTCTAGTAAGAAAAACTATAAAATTCAACAAAGAATCTTAGGATTCTTAAAAACGCTTAAAAGTTAAACATTTTACACAAAAGGAACTCCAAAAAGTAAACTTTTATTCATGGATTTTGGAAAAAAAATGTGTCAACAATTGGAACAATGAAAAACAAAATTTCAATTCTGATTTATTTTAATATTGTTATAAATATCAACTACAAGATTTTTTTCTATAAAATCAACCATTAAATATCAAATAACGGATTATTGTAATTTTTTTTCTATTAACATTGTTTATTGGTATAACTGTTAGAAAACTACAATTTATTCCAACTAAATAAATGAACATTAAAACAAATTTAAAATAAAATAAGATATATCTCATTTGTTTTTTCAATATATTAATTGTACATCGCTTAATAAAGATCTATTATTTTTATTTGAGCCATAATTTAAGACGTAAAGCATCAACACCATTTAAATAATAACAGAATAAACGTTTATCTCTCACAAAACCAAGATTTTCATAGAGTCTTAATGCTGGTTTGTTAGTGATCTCCGTTTCTAGTACAACCTAAAATCAAATACAACCTAAGATTTAATAATAACTACTTTTAATCTTATTATTTAAAAATCTATCTTTGTATTAATTAAACCAATCTGGTATTAATCATAGATTTTATAGAAGTACATTGTATATTGCTTACTATCTAGATAAAAGTTGTAACCAAAAATAACAACTTAGTTAAGAAATATAAGCATATTTAGTAAATAATGTTAATTATACCCATATGTCGTTGCTTCAGAGGCAACATCATGTTTGTGAATTTTAAAGGAGAATAAAAACAGTTTTCTATGAAATTGATAGCATGTGTCATGAGTTTTTTTTATTATTAAATTAGCGCTTATCTATAGATTTTATCTAAAATCTGATTCCACTATTCCATTGCCAATGTAATTTTATATATAATAGTGTTACTAATTCATTTTGATCTAAATGTGAGATATTTAGTATTGCTTCTTAATCAACTATGTATTATAATTTTACCATTTTACATAATTTAAGGTAAATGGATAGATGGTCATTTTTGTATAAAATAGTAACAATAAGCGCAAATTAATAAAATAAATAATATGCTATTTATATTTGTAAATTGTCATGATATTATGTAAAATGTTGACATTTATTTTTTTAGGGTAATTATTTATATTATTTTAAACTACATCTAATTACTTCTAATCTATATTTTAATATAATAAAAATGAATTAGTATTGGAAATTATGTGTTATTTAATAATAAATCAATATAAATTACTTCATCAGCTCCATCATTCACCATTGCTTCAATTGCATTTAAAACCAAGTTAGAACCTAGAACAAATAATTTAGATTATTATATTAAGGAAATATTTTGATAGGGAAAACTATAACTAATATTTCACAATTTACCAAAATCCTAAGATATTATTTAGAAATGAAACAGTAGCTTACAATAAATTCTTGCCATGATACTTAATACTTTTATAAATGTAGTAATGTTAAATTTCATATTAAAAAATATTAACCTTTAACCAATTATAAAAGATTATTTTACAATATTTATTTGTAAATCTATTTACAATTAAATAAATAAAAACAATTTTGTTTTTATTCGAAAAATTAATTAATTATTTTTAAATAATTTAAAGTTTATACATAAATCTGATGACCTATATTTTTCAATAAAAAACTAAATTCTGTAATTTAAAACTGTTTTGAAACTATGATTTCAATATTAGAATCCAATACAAGAACTAGATAGTCATAAGGAAAAATATAATGTATTTAAAATAAAAATAATTAAACTTTATTAATTACATAAAATCCAATTATTGTAAAAATAATTTTGAACAACATTCTATTCAACAAAAAAACTAGATAACATGTTTGTAATTGATAAAAACTTTTTTATTGTTTTAATATTTATAAATACTTAAATATAGATTTAGAATTGATTAAGAAAAAAAAAATTTATATGTGTTACCTATATGTTTTTTCCTATAATTTTCATCAACTGCTAACATGGCAATATATCCTCTTCTTACTTTTCGATGCACATCTAATTTACATACGATAGCACCAACACATTTACCTCTATCCATTGCCTATATCAAAACATAGTCATAATAAAAAAAAAACATAGTCATAATAAACATGAGAAGTCTTAATAATTCTAAATAGTTTAATCAAATACTTACCAAAAAACATAGTTTTGGCCAATTATGTATGAAATAACGATAGGTATAGATAGAATAAGGTTCTGATAAATCTTTTTGTATTAAATGCATGATATCTTTCATTTGTTGTTCATTTTTATAACATATATATTCAACGTCATCACTTTGCTTTAAGCCCTTACTACAATTACTAATATTTAAATCCAAGGAAGAACATGATGGCATATTTTGACTAGATGGTGATGATGCCACAATTTTATGACATGAGAGATTACTTTCTGACTCATCACAATTGAAAACACCATTTTCAGATATTGATAGTAGACTTACATCAGGAATTATATTTGTTTTGCAGATTTTTGAACTATTTAAACTTTTAACGTTGGACACATCTTCATCCCTAGTGCCTAATTCGTGAGATTGTTTTTGTATTTCGTCCATTTAAGTAACCATTTATATCACACATTAATAATAATTATAAAATATAAAATCTGAAAATGCATGTTAATTTTTACAAAATACCTAATGTATTTTAAATAAGTACTATCTTTATAAAATTGAATTGATTATTATGATAGAGTTTTGTTAACATTTATTCATGGAAGAATCCATACATTGTATCTCCTAGAAAACACATTAATACCATAGATTAGATAAAATTTTTGTATAATCTGTGTTAGTACGGAATTGATGATATATTTTGTTATCTCGAACAATAGTTTATTAGGTCAAGTCTATGATAAGTTTTCTATGATTAGCATCACTGTTTTAAAAATTAAGCTTAATATAGTCTAGTTAAACAAATTTTGCGGTAAAACGTCAAATTTTATTTATATTGAAAATTATAAATTGCATATTTTTTATCATTTATTTAAAATTAAGTAGTTATCATTTTCCTTTTAAAGTTTTTATTGATTGCAGCAGTAAAATTGGGTGACACAATTATAATATATTTAAAAGGTCAGTACTGTTAATAATAAATTATTTTACACCGTTTACAAATTCGTTTTCTAAAATTTGTCATTGGTTAATCCTTATTACGAATGAAGAGAAAATGGACTGAACACAACTTGATCAGCGGTAAGTGCGATCTGCTTTTGTTATAAAAATTCCGTAGAAGGGGAATATTTGGCGAGCAGTGAGCTCTAGCGACGAATATGGTTTCAGAATACAAAATTTTTAAACGTGTGGGGAATTGGGAAAAGACATGTAAAATAATAGATGGCGCCGTTACTTTAAAATTCTCCTTCTACGAGAAATGTATAATAGAACCGGATCATTTGATAAGGCTTCTGGTAAAGTCCATTACACCTTAGTTCGTGCCAATATCAAAGATAATTTTTTTGGTAGTTCCGTATTCGTAAAACTGGGTTTGGGCGCCTATGCCAGTTCACTTCATCTAGCGTATCACAAAATTTATGTTGTTGGCTGGCAATTTTCCTCATAGTCATTGCTGTTCATAATTGTTTCCTCTCTTTTAAAGTTTTTTTTATCCATTACTAAATATCTCTCATGTAGTATTAAGATATTAATATTATCGAGTACTTAAAATATTAATCGTTTTTAAAAAGTTAACTTCGCTAATTAGAAAGTAAGTGTAAAGTCTATTTTTTATATAAGTGTATAGTTTTATTGTTTACCTATTACCTCAGTAGATTGAATTACGTAGTATCAATTATTTGATAGTTTCATTTTGTTTAAATCATTCGAAAAGGAAATAAATAGTAATTATATCAATTTTTTTAGTTAACCTAGGTCAAGGTAAGATTGTCTACTAATAACTTAACAACCACAATAAATTTTTAATGGAGAACCTTAAAGTTATTTATTAATTTTTTTCAATCTATTTTTCTAGAAATTAATGAATGTATCATTTTAGGGAGTTTTAACTTTTCTTTGTTGTAATAAATTTAATGCTTTAATAGCTTCTTCTACAAAGTCTTATGTTTAAGTTCTTTTAAGTCTGTTTCTACTTTTTTTAAATTTAAAACCATAAGTTTTAACTTATAATATTCTATCTAATTTTGTAATTAGGAATTTAAGCATTTTAATAAAGAACTTACAACTTATAAAACTTACTAAGTAGATATGTTGATGTATTAAAATGTATTGCAAAAGTATTTTTTTTTTTTTGTATTAGTGAATTTACTATAAATTTATCTTAATTAAAACATTAATTGAATTAACTGATTTGTGTTAAATCTGTATTAGTAGATATATGAATTTTTTTCTTTTCTCATTTTATTATTTAAGTAATAATCTTATTTTATTTTAGAAGAAAAAAAAAGTCAACTATCAATAATTGATGAATTTTTAAAATATTATTATTTATTAACTTTCGGTATTTAACATATGTTTACTTATTTTCAATTTAAATAGGCTCGATTGGAAAGTATTATTTTCACATTCACATTTTTTAGCCCAAAAAGTTTGATGTCAAATGGTGACTGAGTAATCATATTGATCATTTGTGAAACAAATGCCCTTGGTTTTTTTTTATCATATTACTGGCTTAGTTCCAATTTAATAGTTTTTAGAATTTCTATTTATATGTGTATATATATTAATACATTTAATATGAAAATAATTGAAAAATGTAGTACTATATTAATCATAGTCTATATCATGATATATTTATAAGAATAAGTTTTTATAACTAATATGGATAAGAATAAAATTTTCAAAATTAAGTTATAATTTAATTAAGTAAATTAAATGATACACTTTGTGGTATAAGCATTCCCAAGATATTTCCCTGTAGTAGAGCTAATACTTAAATCATTTTTTGGGGAATTTTCACCTTGCATGTAAATTTAACATAATGAAAAAACCATCTTTTACTAGATCCACCACTGATCTTTGGTATATTATTGAGTTAACATGTTACCTTTTTTGTTATATATAGGGTGGCCAACCACTCACTGACAACTTAAATAACTTTTGATCCAGTTAATATTTTTAGCTGATTTTTTTTTTTAATAATAGTTATACGTTAGGTCCATAGCTATATTTCAATAATTAATTTTTTTACATTTTATTAAAAATATTAATTATTTTTAAATTTTAAATAAAATGTAAAAAAAAAATCTAAGATAGCTATTTTGTAGAGTAGAATTTAAGAAAAATTTTAGTAAAAAAATATCTTATTAATATTCAGTAGTAAATATTCTGTAGCGTTTTGAAGTTTGTGAAAATTTGAATTTTCATGTATTATTTTATGGTATTAAACATTGAAATACGTATTGAGAAAAGGACAGAAGAAAACGCTATCTTTTCAATATACTTTTGAATGAGAGTGATAAGTAATAATTGCCTTATCTAATTTCTTATCATGGTATTTATGCCAAGTTTGTAATGTATACACACTATCATCATATGTATACACAGTAATCATGAAAAGATAGCGTTTTCTTCTGTCCTTTTCTCAATACGTATTTCAATGTTTATAACCGTAAAATAGTACATGAAAATTCAAATTTTTACAAACTTCAAAACGCTACAGAATATTTACTACTGAATATTAATAAGATATTTTTTTACTAAAATTTTTCTTAAATTCTACTCTACAAAATAGCTATCTTAGATTTTTTTTTTACATTTTATTTAAAATTTAAAAATAATTAATATTTTTAATAAAATGTAAAAAAATTAATTATTGAGATATAGCTATAGACCTAACGTATAACTATTATTTAAAAAAAAAATCAGCTAAAAATATTAACTGGATCAAAAGTTATTTAAGTTGTCAGTGAGTGGTGGGCCACCTGTATAAAGAATTTTATTTTATTGTTATAAGTATAAATATTATTTGAAATTATTAAAAGAAGAACATTAACTCCATTCTAAATTTATTTTGTTTGTTAAATATTAAACTATTGAATCAATTTTACATTTCTATCCATTTATTTTTAAAACATCTAAATAAATAGAAATTTCATCTTAATGTGTTAATTATTTTTTATTAGAAATTATGCATCGAGCACAAACAGTTGTTAATCAATTGGTTCCCTATGTACCAACTATTGTTGGAAGACAAAAGTTTGCAACATGGTTAATAGGATCAAAATCTAGATCCTTAATAGGAAGTACTCGTTCAATAACCGTGACAGACTATAAGTATGCTACTCAAGTAAATCAAGAGCAATTTTTAAATGGAACTTCAGCTTCGTACATTGAAGAAATGTATAATGCATGGTTAGCAGATCCTAAAAGTGTTAATGTGGTATGTATCAGTTTTTAGCTTCGATGCGAAGTTGAGAAGGTATTGGTTTTACTATGATGTGTTTTTTTATTGCGTCTGTTACCACTTTTTCTCAGCTCTTATTGGACCGATTTCTTTCAACGATATGTCAAAAGATCACAAACCGTATCTAGTCGAAGACATTAACCTCAAATATTGAAAAAATTTCCCTCGTTCGCCGTAAATGGGGGATACCTCCAGAAAAATTACAAATTTAAAAATTTCTAAATTTCGACATTTTTTAAATTTTTTTTTACTTAAAACTGCCATAACTTTTTTTAAAAATGACCAAATCAATATAATTTTTTTTTTTTATAGATGTTTGATGTCTTTACCTATCATTTAATATATATTTTTTATAAATCTGACCCTTTATCTGCCCACAAGGTGGGATTTAAAATGACAACTTTTTCACAAAAAATTTACTATTACACTTTTGAAAAGTCTGACACTTTTATATATATCTTAAATTAAAGATAATGTAATGTACTTTATTATGGAAAAAAAAACATTTTATACAATATTATGTGGTATTATATAGTTGTATTATGTATGAATATCTTTATTTATACACTTTATTACCTTGTCATAATTTTTCATAGTATTCATAATACTATGATAAAAAACAATTGTTTTTTTTTTTTATGTTATTCTAATTTTTGTAATATTGAACATTATAGATCATGATCTAAATATTTTAAGCTTGTTCAATGAGTAGGTTAGAAATTTGGTCCATTGATTAATTTGAAATGTAGATTCTTATCATTCTTCTTCTTCTTCATCGCCTTAATCCCAATTACTTGGAGTCGGCCACCCTTATCCTAAACTTTCACTGGACACAATCTCCCACATCATTTACGCTCACATCAGCTATCCTCATATCGCAGATATTTAGTTTCTTATCATTCATTATACAAAATTTTATAAATATGTATTATTTTTAGTCTTGGGATGCATTTTTCAAAAATTGCTCATTGGGAGCTCTTCCAGGTCAAGCATATCAAGCACCTCCAACTCTTTCTCCTCCAGGAAAAAATGAAGTATTGCTATCTAGTATTCTTCCTACTGTTCAAAATACAGCAGCTATTGGAGGATCTTTCAGTGAAAAAATGATTGATGATCATTTGGCTGTTCAAGCAATCATTAGGTCATATCAGGTAAAATTAATGATAGTTATTTAAAATTGTTAAGTTGATGATAATTTCTTATTTTATAAATGTAATATTTTTTTTAAGAAGTGATAATTTATTTTTCTGTTCACAATTTTCAATTCGTCTATCTAATTTTATTTTATTTGGTTTAATCACAGTAAAATGTTAACTTCTAAAATCAGATATTAATCGCCATTATTAGAGTTTAAAAAAATTACATTCATTTAATGGTCATCCTACAATTTAATTTTTTTAGTAATTTCTTTATAGTTATTATAATTTTGTATATTTTTAAACTGCTTAATAATAATAATAATTTAAATGCCTCAAATTATTTTATTACAAATACTTTATTATTAATACATTACTTGAAACAGATTTTAAAAATTAATTTGATACTAAGAATTTAATAATTACTAATAGAAACTACCTCTTAAACAATTAAAAATAAGTGTAAATTTTGAAAATGATGTTACTATTATAAACGCTAAACATATGCTGACTCAATGTATAGGGATATTTTCTTATTGAAGTATATTTTTGTTGCTCTTTAGGTTGATTATTTTTAATAATTTTCATTTCTAATCAAAATTATTACAATTTTTTGCATATTATTTTATATAATATACCAGTGATACCAACTAAGATACGACATCCTTTGATAAATTTAATATTGAAACAGATTTCACAAATAAAATATTTAACATGTACAAAATTAAGTAATTAATTATATATTTACACATAAGCTTTTATTTTCTAGTATGTAATCCTCCAATATGCTAATACATTTCTTCTCCTGTACATTAATTTTTTCAGTATGTGAACTATTTTCACTATTGATTATTTTGAAGTATAAAACATTTCTAGCTCCCATCTTCCCTTCTCTCTTTGCTTTGATCATTGTACCTTTCACTTCTTTTACTGTTAATGGTTTTGCATTACATGCTGTGGTATATTTGTTAGCTATATATTTATTAACACTATTCATTGTTGTCAATTTGAAAATCATTAATTTTTGCATTATTCAACAGATTTACATATTTAAATGACTTTTTTATTAATACTATAATTTGATCTAGTTTCATTACTTTCTTCTAAATTTTGAGATATTTCAAGTAACCATGCTTTGATGACTCTTTAAATATCAGTGAAGCTGGCAATTCTTATGTTGTACTATCTGAAGTTGATCTATAGGACAGCAAGGATTTTTCTTCCCTATTATGATTTTCAGTCATTATTGTTCTGATTTCTTTATTAATGTTTTAATAAATCTTTCAATAAGTCCATTTGCTTTTGGCCATCATTGTGTAATTTTTTGATACTTAACTCCTAATAAAAACAGAAATTTTGGAAATCATTAACATTTATGAAAGGTCCATTGTCAGTTTTCAAATATTATTGCAAATCAAACTTAATCAATATTTTATTTAATTGTAGAGTATCAATTTAATTTCTGAGATCTTTTATTATACAAACTATTGGAAACCTAGAGTATTTATCAACTACTGTAATGGTATGCTTGCCGTTAGAATTTGTACCATCAAAATCCATCACCAAATCTTTTAACAGATTTTCTGATAGTTTAATGATTACAATAGGGTTGTACTTGTTTTTAGTTGTTGTTGTCAAACATAGAATGCATGATTATTCATCAAATCCTATTTGTTTTTGTACTATTTTACTATGATCAGGATACCATACCTTGCTTCTTATAACTATTTTGTTTTCTCAATGTGTTAGTGACAAGTGTGAGCTAATTGTATGGTTTATCTTTGAATTGTTTTTGGTATTACAATTTTGTTTAGTATAAGTAGTATTCTATCACTAAAAACAGCTTTAGGTTATCTTTTGATGCATACTTAATTTTATTTAAATCTTTGTCTTTAGTAGTATAAACTAGTTGCAACTTCTTTTTTCATTAATGCTTTTGGTAAATAATTTAAACAACAGCGTTTACGTTTTTTTTTTTTTTTTTCCAATTTTGACAATATTTTATTTTAGTTGTTGGATGTCTAGACATTAAATCAGATGGGTTATTTTTGCTCTTTACATAATTGCTTCAAAATTATAATCCTGTATTTTTAATCTTAGGTTCTCTAATCTGGTAGATGTTTCTTTATTTTACTTGTATATAAATGGTTACTATTGGTTAGTTTTCTGTGCATAAAATAAAACTTGTACTTATTAAATAGTCTGGAATGCTTGATTACCCAAACCACTGCCAGCATTTCTATCTATTTGAGCATATTAATTATTTTTTATTTATTTATTTATCATTAATCATAATTAACATCCCCTCTAAAAGCTATTGCTTGTGACAGAGAGGATGAAACAATTCAATAGCAATACAAAATGGAATCAAACCCTAGTACTTACACACAGAGACAAAACGTTTGTCCAACTGACCTAGGTGGGTTGCCCTAGGTACTTGCACAAGCAATAATGTTATTTTCTTTTTAATCAAGTTATACTTAGATAACTGCTATACCATCTGGATTAGCATTAACAATTAGCTAAGTTTTTTTTTCTTTTAACAAAGAATTAATTAGATATTGCTATTTTCAAATATTACAGTGAAATCTGTTCTTCTTTTCATCAGCTCCATTTTTTATTTTATTTTATTAAAACTCAAAATGATTTTTTTTTTTTATGTTAAATATGAAATAAATTTTCCGTAATATGTTTCCATTTTCAAACGACTAATAACTTAAAATTTCCATCTTTACCATTTTTATCATCAAATTCATAAGTTAAGAATAATGAATATATGTGAAGATGAATTTGTTTATATTTTAATTTTTCTATACCACTAAAGAGTCGTATAAATTGAATATAAATCAATTTATTATGAAATAAAACTACCTACCAACATAAGTATGGTAATAAATTATTTTGTTTATAAAATAAAATATTTTTCCTTTTGAAAGTTTTTCACCTATATCTTATGGGTCAATCTATATCAAATCATCCAGTCCAGAATTCACCTGATCATTTAAAAAAATTTTGAAATTTCACACGTAAGTTTCCTAATATATATAAAAATAAAAATTTTAAATGAAAATAGTTTAATGACCTGTCAAAATTCTGAAACCACAAATTACCTCTTAAATTTATGTATTCTTTCTTTAGACCTTGTGGAAAAAGTTGAAATTTGTGAGTTTTAGTTTTTTGTCCCGCCGGAATAAAACTGAAATAAAGTTACCTTAAAGTCGTTATTTAAGAAATTTGATGATTTCTTAACTTATGTTAATAAAAAATTGCTAAAATAAAATTTTTAAAACACAATTATATTATAATATTCAATAATTAATGATATTGAACAATTTTTATTGAAAAATATGTAATTCATCGTTAATTTTAATTTTAAGTCATTTTTTTTTTTTATAAACAAAAAAAACCTTTCCTAAAAATTACTTACAAAGTCAATTAAAATTAAAAAAAATCCTACTGTTAATAATTAAAAATATTAGAAGATCTCATAATGAAAAAGTGGTGAAATTTTCAACTTTTAAGAATAAATACCACATGTATCGTGTTACGCTGTCGCTATTTTTCTGCTAAAACTACATTAAATTTATGGTTTAATTTTGAATTAGTTTTATTTAAAATATCTAAAATTCATAAATTCAAGATACAACAAAAATATTAGTATCATTATGATCCTTCAGGAATTAAGTAAAAAATTAATACTTTAGTAATTGCCTCAAAATGAAAAGTAATCACATTAAATTTTGCTATCTAAAATTAGCAACATTTCGATAACCTCTATAACAAAAATCCATTATAGACAGTGGCGTATTTAGGAAGGGCACAGGGGCACATGCTCCCTCCCCCCCCATTGACTGAGTCATGTAAATATTTTATCAAGCAATGTAATAATGTATATAATATCATTAAAAAAAGTTATTTTTTGGTTATCGATAATAACATGGGTTTATGAAATATTAGTCAATTTAGTTGTCTTGTGGAGCAAAATTTGACACTCGCACAGTTGTCCCATTACTGTTATCACCTATTTTTGAAGTGTTTATTACTTAGAGATATACACTGTATAAAAAAAAATATTTTTATTAATAAAAATGGATTCAAAACAAATATCAGATTTTTTTCAAAAAAATCTAAAATATGTGTTTAATATATGTTAACAAAAGTTATGAGCAAAAAAAAAGTCGTTTTATAGTACCTTATTTATGAACATTTTTTATGCCCCCCCCCCATATAAATTCCTAATACGCCACTGATTACAGACAACTGAATAATAATTAAAAAGATAATTATAGTAATAGACCACATACACAATCATCCCGATCCTCTTCTATAGTAATATACAGAAGTACAACTAATAATAATACTTAAGTATTAAACTGATATACTCCTGTAAAAATAAGTTCTGATAACATGGAAACCAAACAAACAAGCGAACCCACTCCGCCTAAATCACAATCTATATTCATCAAATCTGATCTGAACTATGTAAACTTTTGTGTAAACAAAGAATGATTTAATTTGGATTGACCCTTATAGTAAGCATAGATATTAAATTTATTAGTTTAAGTTAAAATTTTTTGTAAATTTTGAACTTCATTAAAGTTAATTAATTGATATAATATTAGAGAATTTTGTTTGAAAGAATACACATTTTGTGGTTGATTTGTATCTCTGATCAGTAGTGAATTTTGTTTTTGTTTTGTGTGTGTGTAATTTGAGTAAAGTAATAGTTCTATCATAACTATGAAATGCATTATAAAAAAACTTTATTTCACCAAGAATTATTGTCATTTAAACAAATTATATTAATTTAAAGTGTTTGAGTGTTTGTCTTTTAAATATTTGAGATTATTATTACATAAAAACAAGTGTCACTTTTTATACTACCCTTAGGTTAGGGGTCATTTTGTGGCTCAAATTGATCCTCTTGGATTTACAAATGCTGACTTACAAAATACTCGCAAACAGGGTAGACCTCATGAAGTCATACTAAGACAACATTCTATTGGTAAGATTGGGTAGAAAAATCATCTACATGTGCGAAATGTTTATTAACAGTTTTATTTTAACATAATTATTATGTAAAGTTTGTGCATGTCTGATTAAAATTTTATGTAGTTTGAGTTGGAGGAATATTTTCTGCCCAAGTATATTACTCCATGATTTAATAGCTTAAATTAGATGTTATAAAGAACACTGGCCAAAAGATCCAATTTGTATTGTGTGTCTTTAATACCAATTGCATTTAATTATTAATTTGATTGCACTTATTTAATTAATCTCAACTTAAATTATTAAATTACTTAAAATATATTTACTGGAAATAGGACAATGTTTTTGTCTTATAGAAGGTATATTTTGTTAAAGTTAGAACTTTTTTGTTAAAAATTAGGACTAAAATATCATTGTTGTTGACTTAGCTTAATACCGTCGGAATAGTTCAATAAAAAACTTTTTCCCTTTAAACCCAATTAATGTACTCTTTATTTTAAACGAGCATATATTTTTTAAATTATATTAACTTAAAATAATTATGACCACATAATGTTAGTTGGATTACTTAACCTACATGTGAAAGTAGGAAAAATATTCATTCTAAATTAGTTTTTTTTAATCTTCTTTTTTAAAAATAATTACTAATAAGAAACCTTTATAAAAAAAATAACAATTTTTTTGACAAAGTTAATCTTACTATTACATTTCACATATCAATTATATTGCCGATCCATTTTTTTATTGAGAAATATTGCAATAGTAAGTAATCTTTTTAACAAATAATTTTTATAAAACAGTATTACTATAAAAATTTTGGTTTAAATGTGTTGTTATAATAATATGTTGAAAGATAAAAGATCCAGCATACATGTTGACATATACTTAATAATCAATTCAATAAACTCAGTATCAGATCTGTCTGAACTATTTATTTTATAATATTTCAGTTGGATAAATTATAAATATCCTAAACAATGAAATATAATTGAAATAATATTATATCTTAATATCAATTTAATTTGAATTTTAATTTGTATCTATAACATTCAATTTATTCAACTTATGTAAATATATTCATTAAAATAATCTAAAAAGGCTAGAAATAAATTCGCATCGAAGCTAAAAAATGAATTAAGTTTTACTTATAAGTATAATAAATCTAAATTATTATTATCAATTTGTTAATATTAATTTTTGTCATAGTTACATTTATAAAATGTGTACAAAAATTACTTATTTTTTTAATGAAAATGTGCATTATTTTTGTGTTTTTCAAAATAAAACTATCAACGGAGGCTCTAGAGAAATGTTGAAACATCTCCCTATAATCATATACCACACTACTATAACTTAATTATTTTTAGGAAAAAGTGTTTCCATAGGAAAACGAAAGGTTCTGCATATTTTTTTACTTTTTATTCTTCTCTATTCTTTCTTTTACTTTCTATTAATCATTATTTTTAATTTGGTAAAAATTATAAAACTAGAGTGTGCAACTCATACATATTAATAATAATTACAAACTCCTGTTGTTTTCAATTTGTCTAATTTAACATGTTTTGACTATTTAAAATATTTCTAGACATATTGTTTTATTATTAAGATATTTAATATTCTTGATAATAAAACAATCCATGAAAGCTTTAACACATTCAAAAGTTTTGAACTTAAATTTTATATAACTATATTATGTTCTTGTTACTTAACAAGATATTATTGAGCATATTATCTTACACTTAATTAATATTATTATTAATAAACTTACAATTTTTTTTTTTTTTTCAATCTCACATTAATTAATGTTTGTATTGAATCACGTTTGTGCTTTTTTTTTTTGTTTGTCAAATAATTAGATACGAGGACATCATATTGCACGTCTTGACCCTTTAAATTTGAATAAAGTGGATCAAGATGATAGACTCCCACAGGAGATTCTATACGGTTGTTATCCTCCATTTGGTAAGTAGTACTATTGAAATAAATTTTTACATTAAAATACTGACATATTGTGTTGTTTTATTGACTGTTTGCTTAGTTTTGTTATTTAAGTATAGTAAGAAAAAATATATGAATTGCATGATTTTTTTTACCACCATCTCGATTTATAACGTAATGTTATGCTGATATGTTTTTAACTGATATGATTGTTTTGTAACTTATAATTTAAAATATCGTAACCAAGAGCCTCCAAAAGTATAGTTCAGTTGTGCCTAAATTTTATAATTCTTTATATTAGAAGTAGGGCTGCGTAATAAAAAATTAATTTAATATGTGATCATATGATTTTTGAGAGAGTGAATACAAACTTCATTGCGCAGATACTAGGGTTCTAGTTCATACGTTGAGCTGCATTCCTTTGGTGTTTTTTCTACTTCAAAAAAATTTTTTAAATAATAAACGTTAAAAAGAAATCCTACTTTAATAAAAATTTATCTAATTTAAAAAAAACATGTTTAAAAATATAAATATTCAAAATATATTCTTATTTATATTTAATAGGGTAGTAAAAAAGTGTGTTTGATATTTACTCCCTATCCCATTAAATAATCCTAAGCATGCCACTGGTCAGTTACATGGTTGCCATAAGATATTTGATTTTTCCTTAAATTTTTAAAAATTTACTTAACCTATCATTTATTGAGACTAAGTTTGTAGGGTTCATTACATATTTTTTTATATTTAGTCAAGTTATATTAAGAATAATAGTGATAGTTTCAGTGGCGTCAAAATCAATAATAGTAAATAGAGCAAGCATTTTTAGAATTTTAAAAATCTCGCACACCCATCAAAATTGCTTGACCTTTGTCATTGCTCTTCACTAATGATTATATTTCAATAATTAGAAAAAAATGGTAGTTGTGTAAATTCATTTAAAACTAGGTTATTTATTGTTGGATAAATTTTTCTTAAAAAAAAAAAAAAAATTAAAGGTATCCAAAAAAATATTAGCCCCTTGATAGAAGATACCCAAAACAGCTTGTTCGCGGCATAGTGGAATAATTATAAAATATTATTTGACAGTGATTATCATCACTATCATATAAAACGCTTTGATGCGAATTTGTTACATTTTTTGATAATTTGTATATATATAATTTCACTCACAATGTCGGTATTAAATGTCTGGTAATTATTTGCATTGTTGAAAATAAAGTCTTTTTTTTTATGTGAATTGCAATTTATTTTACTTTGACATACGATTTCTTATAATAGAACAATTATGGGATGTTAATATAACATAGGTTTGAAGAACTAGTCAATCCAAAACATTTTCAAAATTTAGTTGAAAAAAAAATTTATACATGTGTAAGTGGTATCTTATAAACCTAAATTTATCAAAAAAATTTCACAAAAAACATACCAAAAGAAAAAAACCCAGCACAGGGGGATCATGGCACAGTGGTGACGTAGCATAGTTGGATCAAGTATAATGATATCTGACAGTGATTAAAATCACCATCATAAAAAACGCTTCGATACAAATCTGTATGGATCAATTCAATATTTTCATGAGAAGTAATATTTATATACATCTTTCATTCGACATACTTTTTTTTGAAATCGGACCATTTCCCTATATATGGGGGGAGTTCAAATCTAAAAAATGCATATAGAAAGTAGAACTTTTTCAACTTAACTTTTGAAAGTGTTCCGGATAGTCTGACACTTTTATATATATCTTAAATTAAATCTAATGTAATGTGCTTTATAATGGAAAAAAAAAATTGACCTCTGGACTTGTCTTCATGGTAAAAATGGCTACCAAATGCTATTTTTGTATGAAAATTTTCGATTTTATTTTTTACATTTTACATCAATACAATTTTTATGAGAAATAATATTTATATCCCTCTTTTATTCGACCTACTTTATCTTAATTAGGATATAAATAAGGAAATATCAGATCATGTAGCTTTTGGAATAATCCACCATTTTTTTTAAATTAAACACTATCTAAAGATTTGCATCAAAGCGTTTTTTTTGTATAGTGATTTTTTATACTTGATCCAACTATGCTACGTCACCACTGTGCTGGGTTTTATTTGATCTTCCTATACCTATTCTTCCTTCAACATCTATTTTTCAATACAATCCACAGGTTTAGTTATTTAAATCATGTTTATAGAGCGTACTAATACTTTAAAAATAAGAATTAACGTAAGGAAATCAGTGGAGTATTTAGCTTTTTGACGCACCTAGACTAAATTATTCTATCACTCATTGCTTAATATTTTTAATTATGTTTACTATTATGATTTTTTATGTTTTTTATGATAGTGATTTTAATCACTGTCAGATATCATTATACTTGACCCAACTATGCCACGTTACTACTGTGCCGCGACCCCCCTGTGCTGAGTTTTTTTAAATTTAAATAGATTATAAAATCTTCAAATTTAATAAGACTTTAGTACTCAATCATTAATATTTAATTACTTATAATGGTTGATTTTTATGGCGTAAATCAACCGATCAATCACCCTTTTTGAAGGTAGATATGGAAATTTGGGATCGACGCCACTGATTTAATTACTGGATTATCCATCAACTATGTTTCTCTCAAATAACTATATCAAAAGTTGTTATTAACCAGCCCTTATCTTATGTTTAAGCTAGACAAACATGTATGATTTTGTTTAGAAAACTAAAAATCATTTTAAAGGAAAAGAAGAGGGAATATAACTATATTATTTTATGTTAATTAAATTGTGTCGGATACTAATAACTTTTAAAAGAATAGGGCTAGGAGGAGAGTATTTAAAGAAGTGTTTTTTGGGTTAAACCTCGCTTATTTCTAAAATTTCAATTGATTAACAAATAACAATAAAAAATATGTAAGTTAATGAAAAGACACAACCCTGCATAAATAATGTATGTCTATGCCTTTTTAATCAAATATAACATTTTTTTTTTTTAACTGTAAAATCGTAGGAAATTCAGAGAATTTGAATATTTTAAATTTTGGGGCAACCATGTGTTAACTCATAAATATTAGGTGTCATTTCGAATAAAGTGATTTTAAAACATTATTTTGCTTATTAGTTCTTTTTCACTCCTTCCTTGTTTTTTTCTAAAAATTTCCATCCCTGGGTTTCAAATTAATTCAACCTTTTACTATTGTCAACTGGTAAATCTATTTTATTATAGAAAATTTATTGTTATGATAAAAATGAATAATCATCATAAAGCTAATATTATTTAAAAATTAAATTTTATTTGAAGATTTCAGCCATATAACTTTTTATTTTACTAAAAAAATTAATCAGCTTAAGTATATTCCTGTTTTTTTTTTTGTTCATGCTTTCCATACATTACTAAATTATATTTATCATATTATTATAGTAATATCATTTTTTTGGTTTAAAAATATATTAATTAATAATAAATATTTGAAATTTTTGTTACTAATTGTCATGATTTAACATATATATGTTTCTTTGATATCTATTTTATAAATCTAGTTCTCTACTTCTGTATAGGGTGGACTTGTCTTTTTTAAAGCTTTTATAAATTTGAAAATAATATTTTCTTAATTTTCAATTTATTAAAATTAAAAAATGTTGGTTAATATTCTACTCACCTCTTATAATAATTATTTTTTAATTTTTACATATTTGATTATTATAAAAAATTTTTTATTAAATATCTAATGGACTTAACGTTCTAAATTCAAGAGTTTATTTATATAGGCAAACCACCCGATAATACTACATATTCTCAACATCTACAGAATAAAGTAGCTGAATTAATGGGTATGTAACAAGTTTGGTATTTATTTATTTATTTGTTTACCTTACATTACATTGATTTTATGCATGCAATTATTACTATATATATTTTTTTTTAATGTCCATGAATGTTTTTTATAGAGCATTTTGTTGTGTTAAAAATTATTAATTATTGATTATATTATATGCATGTTAAAATAATAATAATGTAACATAGTATGATGAAATACTAAGTATATGATTGTATATAGTTTCCGCACTACTAAAATTAAAAAGATAATGCTATCTTTTATAGAATATAAAACATTAAGCAGATGAACATAGATTAAATTTTTTACTGAAAACTTTTCTGTAATTAGGTCACATTGATATAGTCAACATTTTTTTTCAATATGGTTACTATATACAACATGTTTTTTATATTCATTGGCGCAAGTTAAAGTTTAAATGTAATTAAAAATAATCAACAATGATTAAATCTAACTTTTATAAAATTGCGACTTTGGATTTTGTTCTTATACATAGATTCTTATTAGATAAACATGTTTTTAATTAAAATAAAACAGAGGAGGCTGATATGGAACGTGTATTCAAACTTCCATCCACAACTTTTATTGGAGGAAAAGATAATGCTCTGCCACTTAGGGAAATTCTCAACCGCTTGGAAAATACCTATTGTAGATCAATTGGTGTAGAGTTTATGTTTATTAATTCTTTAGAACAATGTAATTGGATAAGGCAACGAATGGAAACACCTGGAGTTATGGAAATGGATAAAGAACAAAAACGCCTTATTTTGGCCCGTCTTACTAGAGCTACAGGGTATGATTAATAATAATCTCTATTATCTATAACTAAAAATACTAAAATATTCTTTTTTTATTGTTAATGATAAATTTTGTTTAGTTTTGAATCATTTCTGGCTCGTAAATGGTCAAGTGAAAAACGGTTTGGCTTAGAAGGTTGTGAAATTTTAATACCAGCTATGAAACAGGTTATAGATAAATCAACAGAGTATGGTGTAGAATCTATTATTATGGGTATGCCACATCGTGGAAGATTGAATGTGTTGGCAAATATTTGCCGAAAACCATTAAGCCAAATTTTTACTCAATTTGCAGCTTTGGAAGCTGAAGATGATGTAAGTTTTAGTTTTCATTAGAGTTTTTTATTAAAAAAATTGAGAATTTTATGAAATGCCATTGTAATAAAAAAAAATTATTTAACTGGGAGTTCTAAATAGAGCAAAATTTTAGTTTTTGTTTCGGAGGAAAGAGAAAATGCATTGAAGTTAATGTATGTTCTTAAATAATATTATATAACTTGAAGTGTCGACATACAGAAAATTAGGAAACTTTACGGATGATAGGCAATATAAAATACAAGGATTGTCCCCTTATTTATTGCACGAATGAGTGATATGCTATGATGTATCAATATTAGTTATATTGAAAGTATATTACTGCAATTCAGGATTTTTAAGTTATGTACTTATTTAAATTCTTACTCAATGTATTTTACATTTACATTATGAATACATTAGTTTATTTTTAATTATATTTTAGGGCTCGGGTGATGTCAAATACCATTTAGGAACATATGTTGAACGCTTAAATCGTGCAACTAATAAAAATATTCGATTAGCTGTTGTAGCTAACCCTTCTCATTTAGAAGCAGTTGATCCAGTTGTTCAAGGAAAAACTAGAGCTGAACAGTTTTACAGAGGGGATGGAGAAGGTAAAAAGGTAAGATTTATATTATATATTTTCTGAAATGTTTAGTAAAATGTTTTTAATTATTAATTATTATAATTGTTTAAATTTAATGTAAAAAATAGTAATTTTACATTTGAACTTTATTATCAACTAACAACTAAATTTTAGTTATTCAAACATATCCTTTTATTTATTATTAATTCACTGTAAAATAATATTAATAAAAACAAATAATTTGTGATTTTAGGTTATGTCAATTATGCTTCACGGTGATGCAGCGTTCTGTGGCCAAGGTGTTGTGTATGAAACATTTCATTTATCAGACTTACCTGATTATACAACTCATGGTACAATTCATATTGTGGTCAATAATCAAATTGGGTTTACTACTGATCCTAGGCATTCTAGATCATCACCTTATTGTACTGGTAATTACTGTTTATTTGATTTTTGTTTTTTATAGTTGAATAGTACTTACTTTTAAGTAGATAAATTTTTTACCTTAATGGTGTTAAGACATAGACAATGGTACAATAATCAGATACAACTACTTTTAAGTAGTAAATTACTTTTTAGGGAACACAGCAAAAATGTAATTTTTTTTTTATATAAATCCATTGCAAATTATTGACCATGTTTGTTTGTTAAATCTAAGATTAAAAAATATTTTATACTTATATTGAAAAATCTAAAAAAAATGAATATTCAAAAATAGTAAGTGTCTCTGGTTATTGTACAAGTTTTTTAATAGGAAATTCCTATTTATATATGGATTAACGCATTGGATCAATTTTGAAATTCATTTATAAAAATATGGGTGTAACTTTTAGATAATAAGACTTACAATAAAAAATATGTTTACTTACAATTTTTTATAAGTAATATTTTTCTTGTTCCTAATGTGAATCAACTCTACAAATTACTTGTCATATAATTTTTAGAACACTGACTTAACTAATATTTTTTGAAACAATGACAATACTTATGAATATTCCAAATTTTTCTTTTAGTTACATGCATCTTATCGCTAGTTTAATAATTTTGTTATTTAATAGCCACACAATTTTTCTTAGAATTATTTTTAATACTAACTAAATTGTAGTTAAGATTCAAATTTTTCCTATTATGTTTTTATATGGCAAAATTTTTACATACTGATATTAATAATTATTAATTTGTTAAGTAATTAAACATAACAATTGCATTATTTCTCAAATAGTTTCTTTTTCTCAAATGTGATTTATTTCAATAATTGGTGGTTGTGTAGGTATAAAAAATGTTTCGAACTTTAAAGTTATTTTATTAGAATTTTTTTTTTTTGTAGACGTGGCTAGAGTGGTAAATGCTCCCATATTCCATGTAAACTCTGATGATCCTGAAGCAGTAATGCATGTTTGTAACATAGCAGCTGAGTGGAGAAATGTTTTTCATAAAGATGTTGTTATTGATTTAGTAATTATAAATATTTTCTTTTCTGATAATTGAATTTTATTTAAATGTTTTTATTTAATTTATGCTATGTAATAAAACTGGCATATATTAGGTTAGCTACAGAAGATATGGTCACAATGAAATTGATGAACCCATGTTTACACAACCCATAATGTATAAAGTAATAAAGAAAACTCCACCAGTTTTAGATAAATATGCAGAAAAGTTGATAGAAGAAAAAGTAGTTACTAAAGATGAAGTCAAAGTAAGTCAATTACTTATATTAAAATAATATGGGTTTATTTTTCTTAATTATAATTATAAATAGGATGTATGGGACAAATATGATAAAATTTGTGAAGAAGCTTATTCAGCTTCCCGCAAAGAAACACATATCAAGTATAAGGATTGGTTAGACTCTCCATGGTCTGGTTTCTTTGAAGGTAAAGATCCTTTAAAAGTTTCTAAAACTGGTGTAAAAGAAGAAACATTAAATCATATTGGCAAGCGGTTTTCATCACCACCTCCAAATGCTGCTGAATTTGTTATTCACAGAGGTATGTTAGTTTAAATAGGTTAAGTCAACAATTAAATTGAAATTGAATGAAACAAATTTTCATAATTATTTATGACAACTAAATAATCATTAAAACATTAATTTGTACTCTAAGTATATGTATTTTCATATTTTATTGTAATATTTATCTGGGTTATTTCTTATACTACTATTATAATAAACTTATATCCTTAGGTATTGAAAGAATATTAAAAGCTCGCATGCAAATGGTTGAAAACCGTACAGTTGATTGGGCAATGAGTGAAGCAATGGCATTTGGATCACTTTTGAAAGAAGGAATTCATGTTCGTCTGAGTGGACAAGATGTGGAAAGAGGTACTTTCTCACATCGTCATCATGTTCTTCATCATCAGTTAGTAGACAAAGCTACATACAGAACATTATGTAATCTATACCCTGATCAGGCACCATATACTGTTTGTAACAGTTCTCTATCAGAATTTGGAGTATTAGGTTTGATTCATTTTTATGTAAAATTTTATTTCAAAGTAACTTTCATTATTCTAAATAAGAAATTTCAATTTTTCATGCATATTTAGGCTTTGAACTTGGTTTTTCAATGACAAATCCTAATGCTTTGGTTTGTTGGGAAGCTCAATTTGGAGACTTTAACAATACTGCTCAATGTATTATTGATCAGTTTATAAGTTCTGGACAAGTCAAATGGGTTAGACAATCTGGTTTAGTTATGTTATTACCACATGGTCTTGAAGGAATGGTAACATTTAAAATTTTAAGATTAAATACATTTATTTATGATTAATTTCTTGTAGGGGCCAGAACATTCTTCTGCTAGATTAGAAAGATTTTTACAAATGAGTTCTGATGACCCTGACTATTTCCCTCCTGAAAGTGATGAATTTGCTGTTCGTCAGTTACATGATATAAACTGGATAGTAAGTTCTATATAAATTTTAAGAAATATAATTATGTTATTGAGTCTATTTTTAATCAGATGTATATTAAATTTAAATAATTTGCTAATCTAATTTCCCTATTAGGTCGCCAATTGTTCAACACCAGCAAATTATTTCCATATACTTCGTCGTCAAATCGCTTTACCTTTCCGAAAACCATTAATTATAATGACACCTAAATCTTTGTTACGACATCCTGAAGCAAAATCAAGTTTTGATGAAATGACAGAAACAACTGAATTCCAAAGGATAATACCAGAAAAAGGAGCTGCCACTGATAATGCAGCTAATGTGAAAAGATTAATATTTTGTTCAGGAAAAATATACTATGACTTGACCAAAGCAAGAGAAGAACGTAATCTTGTTGACACTGTTGCTATTGCACGAGTTGAACAAATATCTCCATTCCCATATGATTTGATTAAACAAGAAATTACAAAATATCACAATGCAGATATTGTGTGGTCACAAGAAGAACACAAAAATCAAGGGCCTTGGTCCTATGTACAACCCAGATTCTATACATTAATGAATAACACAAAAAATATCAAGTAAATAAAATATTTTAAAATTCTATACTGCTAATATATTTTATTCTAAATTTCTTTTTTTTATTGAAGTATAATATTTAAAAGTTCAATTCTTAAGTGTAAAAATATTTTAATTATAGTCATTGTCAATTAAAAAACCAGAACCTGTACTCTCCCAAAATGTAATTTTTAATATTTTTCTGAACTATTTACATCTCATAATGGTAAAACACCTTTATAGTTTATAGTAGTGACACCTTTTAAAAGTCAATCGCCCAAATACATATTTTTAAATAAAAAATATTACCATCCAATGTTTTTATTTCTAGTTATTTCTAAATTTATATTTTACTTGAACACCCACCCTCCTTTACATTATATTATATATTTTTTAAGAGAGTTGATTAGAGGAAAATAAAGATTAACTTTATTAAAATAACTAATACAATTTCTCTCTATGTTGATGGGTTTAAACATATTCTGTAATATGAAGATAACATGTGTTCACAGAATTAAAAAAAAGTTTGCATGATTTTGTTTTGTTCTAAAATAGTGTTGACCTAAATAGTTAATGTGTAAAATTAGTTTGCAAATAAATTCTCAGCTGTACGTGTTAATATTGAATCACCTAATAAATAAGAGCTCATTTCTAAAAATTTTAAAAAGTTCTAATTTTCAAATAAAATTAAATAGCTTATAAATAATTCAGCTTAAATATAATATTTGGTAATACACAAGTAAAGAAAAATAATTCAAAAAGTTTTGATATAAAACAACCCTCAAATGATTTTTATAGCTAGATAATAAAATTAATAATAAGGTTATAACTAAAATTGATTTTACACAGTGCTAATTCAAATATAGTATAATTGTTTACTAATTTTCATAATTTACACTTTATATTATTTTAATAGATAATAAGCTAAATATTCCTTTAATGTAAAATTGTAAGAACAAACTTTGTTAGCTTTTAAGCTTTTCTATTAGTAATTGATTATCAAAAAAAAAAAAAAAAAAAATAGGCTCTTTGATTTGTGCAGGCATTTTACTAAAAGGTCCAGTGGATATTTTTTTCAATTATTTTCATCTCAACCAAACTCTAAAAATGATTTATCAAAATTAAGTTTAATTGAACAGAAAAATATAATTCGAAAATTTAGGTGAAGATTTAAAAATATGATGATAACTATTATGTTTTATAATTTATAATTTTTTTATTGCATTTTAACTAAATAAAATAAAATAATTAATTTTTAATAATTTAATTTTTTTTTTTTATAATTATATTGAATAATTTTAAAGAATAAAATATTTTTTTAAACCTAATTTATAAAAATTTGAAAAACTTCAAATTAAAGAAACATTTCTATAATTGACTAATTAATAGAAATATTAATAAAAAAAGAAATTTTAATTCTTTTATCTAATTAAGTAGAAAAATATTATTATTGTTTAATTATACTAAATAAAATAAATTTTTGTTATTTTCTTATTTAGCTATGCTGGAAGACCAACTGCTGCTTCTGCTGCAACTGGAAGTAAAATGCAACATTTAAAAGAACTTGCTGCATTACTTGAAGAATCTTTTGCAATCTAAATGTAGAGTTAGAAATAACAACTAGTAATTGTGATTATATTGTATCTGTTAAAAAGTATTCTTAATAAAAAATATAGACCTACAAAGATTAATAATGTAGGGAAATTACCATAAAATAACTAAAGTATGTACTTTGTAATTAAAATTGTTAATTTATTTATTTAAGTTGTTATTATAGTATCTAATTATTCTGCAATATATCATTAACTGCTTAAATTTTATTTGCACTGAACATATTTCTGTTGTGTATCACATGAGTTATTTGTTTCATATTTAGCAGTGAAACTATTTTATCTTGCTGTATTAATATCAAGTACATATAGTATTATTAAAATAAACATTAAAACCTAAAATGTATTTATTGATTATTTACTTAAATTTTTTTCATTTTAGAAGTATTGTACTTAATTTTTATAGAATTTGATTACTAGAATTATCAATTACTCAAGTAATGTTAATAATTTTTAAATTGACTAAATTATATATTTCATTTTTAAATCTTGTACCAATATATTTTGGGTGGTTGATTTCATAAAATAGTAATAATTAAAAGTTTTTAACATTGATTTTTTGCACAAACGTAATGTACAATCATTAAGTAATTGACTTTTAATGCACCAAATTTATTTATGTTCAAGATGTATAATTATAAAACAGTTGTTTTACTTGTTAAATATAACATGGTTTACACAACCAACTAGAATGTTTTTTTTTTAATTTTCCATATTTGTTTTGTTAAAATCATACTTCTGTGTAAATTTAAATACATCATTTTGTTGTATTTTTGTTATCAATTTTCTCCAGTGGCTTACCTAAAAGTATACTATAGTGTAGGGCGGAATTTTTTGATAGGTGTCTTTTTTTTTAGTATTATGAGTTAAAAATTATTATTAAATTTATTTAAAACATTTTTTTGTACTAGGATTTTCAAGTAAACATAATTAAAAATATTAAGCAATGAGTGATAGAATAATTTAGTCTAGGTGCGTCAAAAAGTTAAATACTCCACTGATTTCCTTACGTTAATTCTTATTTTTAAAGTATCAGTACGCTCTTTAAACATGATTTAAATAACCAAACCTGTGGATTGTATTGAAAAATAAATGTTGAAGGAAGAATAGGTAGAGGAAGATCAAATAAAACCCAGCACAGGGGGGTCGCGGCACAGTGGTGACGTAGCATAGTTGGATCAAGTATAAAAAATCACTATACAAAAAAAACGCTTTGATGCAAATCTTTAGATAGTGTTTAATTTAAAAAAAATGGTGGATTATTCCAAAAGCTACATGATCTGATATTTCCTTATTTATATCCTGATTAAGATAAAGTATGTCGAATAAAACAGTGTTATAAATATTATTTCTCATAAAAATTATATTGATCCATACACTTTTCAATAAGTTATAGCATTATAAAGTTAAAAATGTAAAAATAAAATCGAGAATTTTCACACAAAAATAGCATTTGGTAGCTATTTTCACCGTGAAGATAAAATAAAGTTCTTTTTTTTTTTCATGATAAAGTATATTACATTAGCTTAAATTTAAGATATATATAAAAGTGTCAGACTTTCCGGAACATTTTAAAATCACTATCATAAAAAACGCTTCGATGCAAATCTGTAGATAGTGTTTCCTTTAGAGAAATTGGTGAAATATTTTAAAAGCAACATCAACTCTTATTTCTTTAATTATATCCTGATTAGTAGTTCTTTGATTTTAAAATATAATATATGAATAAATACTAATTATAGTTTTTAAATTCAGTATGAAATTGTGAGGCCAGCTATGATGTATGGTTCATAGTGTTGGGCGGTTAATAAGAAAGTAAAGCAGAGAATTAGTGTAGCAGAGATGAGAATGTTTAGTTGGATGAGTGGAGTGACTAGAGAAGATAGGATAAGGAACGATCATATAAGAGGAAGTATAGGTGTTGCGTCAATCGTGGATAAGATGACAGAAAATAGACTTAGATTGTTTAGTCATGTTATGAGGAGAGAAGAATCGGAAGCTGTAAGAACAGTTATAGAAATGAATGTTGAAGGAAGAAGAGATAGAGGAAGACCAAAAAAGAGATGGAGGGATGCTATTGAATGCGATTTGAGGACAGCTGATGTGAGCGTAGAAGATGTGGGAGATCGTGTCAAGTGGAAGCTTAGGATAAGGGTGCCCGACCCCAAGTAGTTGGGATTAAGGCAAAGAAAAAGAAAAATATTACCAGAAATTCCGGTGGCAATTGACATAATATGATTGTTATTTCGGAATGTACAATTTAGCGTTTAGTTGGGTTTAAATAATATAGCGTCAAATCAATTACCTACTCTATCGGTTGTATCTCAATATACACTACACTTTAATGATACAATAAATAAATAAACTCACACATACACACATATGCATTTATAACATTGTGTCTAATGTGTAACTTGATAAAAAGCAACCGTAATATGAAAAAAAATGGAATATAAATTTTAGTACTCACATTAAATGTAATGTAACTCGAAAAATTTTTGTTTAAATGAAAAAATATAAGATAATTTTTTTGTTTATAATTGTCTTTTAAACAACTTTTGTACGAAACTTTTTTTGTTAAGTTAAATATTTTTTGAGAAAATTAAAAAAGCTCATATTTTTGAACTTTTGCGAGGCTGTAAAAAAAAGCTCAATTTCAATCAATGAAGACTATTAGTATGTCATTATACATATTTTAATTCAACTTTTAAAAAAACAAAATTTTTTCCGCAATTTTTCCTTTGTTGACTGGCCTAGATGTCAATTTTAAACTTGTAATTGAGCTAAAAGTTATGGTAATATATTCAATTTATTTTACTATAAACTTTCATAAATCTTTATCAAAAATTTTTCATCAACTTTAAAGAACCAAAAAAATAGGTTAAAATTGAAAATTTGGACTGATTATTTTTAACATATTAAAAATCAAATCAGTAATAATTTGAAAACAAATTTTTTTTTCTTTTAATTATTATTTTATATATATAATTAGTAATAATATAAAAAATTAGAAGTGATAGAAATAGTCTACTTGCAGATTTGAAAACAACGCAAAAAGTTGATTTAGAAAAGTATTTTTTTGCTTCTGATGAAAGTTCTTTGTAGTCCAGTGCATTTTTTTATAGTAACAAACAGTTTTTATTGAAAATTATTGTATCAAGCCCTTTAAATTTTTATACACGTAAAAGTAAAGCAAAATATAACTTCTTTATTATTTTTATAATTTCTCCGTTTAAATTACAATATTAAATATCAATTTCATACTAAATTTAATAATTATAATTAGTATATATT